ACAGAAACTGCTGATGTGATCTTGCTAAGGTTTTTATTGTAGATATGAAGGACAGAAGAGTGGCATCTGGAGGAGTCCAGAGTGGAGAGAGAAAGAAGAAGACCGAACATGGCTAGCAGACTGGACACGGCCAAGGCTATCTGTGAGAGAAGAGAGACTAGCTAGAGAGAGAGAGAGGAGAGAGAGAGAGAGAGGAGAAAGAGAGAGAGAGGAGAAAGAGAGAGAGAGAGGAGAAAGAGAGAGAGGAGAGAGAGAGAGGAGAGAGAGAGAGAGAGAGAGAGGAGAGAGAGGGAGAGAGAGGAGAGAGAGAGAGAGAGGAGAGAGGAGAGAGAGAGGAGAGAGAGACAGGGGAGAGAGAGAGAGAGAGAGAGAGAGAGAGAGAGAGAGAGAGAGAGAGAGAGAGAGAGAGAGAGAGAGAGAGAGAGAGAGAGAGAGAGAGAGAGAGAGAGAGAGAGAGAGAGAGAGAGAGAGAGAGAGAGAGAGAGAGAGAGAGAGAGAGAAGAGAGAGAGACAGGGGAGAGAGAGAGAGAGGAGAGAGGGAGAGAGAGAGAGAGAGAGAGAGAGAGAGAGAGAGAGAGAGAGAGAGAGAGAGAGAGAGAGCGCGTTCATCAGCAGGGGGAACCTTTGTGAAGAGAGCAAACAGGTATCTGGAAGGAAGGGAGCCTGAAGAGGCAAGGAGGGCCAGGACGCCTGCCTAACAGGCACTGAGGGAGCCTGGAGGCCTGTTGGTGCTTTGGTACAGGCGGCTGTCAACGGAGCCACAGGTCCCTTCTGCCAGAGGTGAGAAAAATGACTCCTTTTGGTAGAAGGGAACCGGCTTTACAACTTCCTGAGGAATGCTGGCTTTCAACCCAGAAATCCTCCTGCAGTCCAGGCTGAGCTCATTTCTGGATATCTGGGCTGCCTTTTAGAGTTTGCAGAATTGGGGTTTCCTTTGAACCCGACACCAGGAGTGGTGCGACTATGGTCCAGCGACTACTGTCTGCTCTTCTGCAAATTTGTGAAGAAGCTGCTGGCGGCTGCTTGGCTACTCATGTTTCTCAGAGAGGGTTGTCCAAGCAGCAGAGTAATCCTGTCTCTCCTTGCAGTCTGCAGACTCTGTCTCTCTGTCTTTCCATTCCCATTGGCCGACGCCTCATCACTGGGTACAGACCGGGAATACTCTACCGGGAATACTCTACCTCCCTTTCATCTCTGGTTAACGTAGGTTTCTCCGCATGGCGTTTGTGATCTGTCTTTGACCTTTATTCTTCTTGCTTTTGGACTGATCACCCTGTCCCTGTGCCCAGAGGAGCCTCCCGCACTGAAGCTCAGCCTTGCAGTGTGCTGTTCGCATTGTCTTATGCAGCAGGCAGCTGACAGCAATAGTTGCACTTTACTTCATAAAGTCCTATAGGCAAGGGCTTGGGAGAGAGAGAGTTGTTGTAAAAAAAAAAAAAAAAGGGCTTGCCTTGAAAGAAACAGGATCCTGGGCTGTCTGGCCAGCCAACCAAGCCTACCTGGTGAACTTGAATCAAGTAAGAAGACCCGCCTCAAAAATAAAATCCAAGGCAGATGACACCTGAGGTTGTCCTCTTGCTTCCTCATGCTCATGCATGGATGTACCTGTGTGTGTGTGTGCGCGCGTGCATGTGCATACACACACACACACACACACACACACACACACACACACACACGCCCACCAAGGTTATAGACAGGAAGTTTAGAGGATCGGCCCTTTGTCTTCCTGCAGAATGCTTAAGGTCTTAGTGACTTCCTCTGATTTCCCCTATACTCCCTAGAGGACTCATGGTTCCGTTTGGTATTTTGGTTTTCCGTGTCCCTGTTACTGGCTTCCCTAAGCATAAGAAAGGTCTTAGCTCCTTCCCAGCACCAGCTCACCGCTTGCATGCTCAAAGTGCCTACCCCTCTTCCACAAAGGACTAAACCCTAGTTTCCAGCAGACACCCAGGCTGGCCTTCTGCGTAGCCAGAGATGACTTCAAACCTCCCTTTTTCCCTGTGTGTACACGTTGCATGTGGTGTACTTGCCCGTGTAAAGCGTGTTCGTGGGTATGCGCTCATGAGCAAGTATGGGCGTGCCTGTGTGTAAGCACGTGGAGGACCAAGGTTGGTGTTGGGTTCTCAATCACTCTCCACTGAGAGCTGAAAAACTCCCTGGCTCAGCTGGTCTAGCGGGGCAGCTTGCTCTGGGGACCACATGTCCCTGCCTCCTGAGCACTGGGGTTACAGGCAGACTGCCACGACCTCCTGGTTTTATACGTAGGCACTAAGGAGTGGAGCTACAGTACTCAACTGCTCGCCTGGCAAGCTCTTTGCCCACTGAGCCACTGTCCCTGACCTCAACCCACTTTTATCGGAGCTTTCTGAGAAACTGTTACCAACCAGTTTTGTTGGGCAAACACAATGGAATGTGTTTGCAAAAATGGAGATAGCTACTGTCACTAGGTGGAATAATGGGACCACCACTGTGCATGTGGTCATTACATGACCTGATTGTTCTCATGTCGCCTAAGATCATATGTGAGATTTCCTTTGCTGTAATTTTTAACTGCCTTTCATCCGCGTGTTAGTTGACATTGGTTGTCAACTTGACAGGATCTGTGCCCTAGTTTGCTTTTCTGCTGCTGAGATAAACATCATGACCAAATCATGCCGGGGAAGAAAGGGTGTATTTGGATTACAGGCTACAGTTTATCGTCATGGGAAGACATGACAGAGAGCTGAAGACTGGAACCTAGGGCAGAAACTGAGCCAGAGGCCATGGGAAAACTCTCCTTGTGGCTTCCTCCCCACGCCTGATTAGCTTGCTTTCTTATACAACCCAACCTAGGACGACTGTCACCATGGGCTGGACCCTCCCACATCAATCCATAACTAGGAAAATACCCCATAGATACATCCACGGGCCAATCTGATGGAGCAAATTCCTCAAGTGAGGTTCTCTCTTGCCAGATAATTAGTTTATGTCAAGTTGACAAAAATAACTGGCATAATTTAGAATCTAGAGACAAGCCTGTGTTTTTGAGGAAGTTTCTAAACTGGGTTAACTGAATGCAGGTGGCACCACTCCTTGGGCTGGAGACTCAGAATAAATAAAAAAGAGAAGAGCATCCGTGTTCGTCTTCTTGGCTCCCAGACTACAGTCTCTCCTTTTCTTGGTTTACTGCCTTGTTTTGACCTAGCATGCCCTGGAGCAGCTTTCTAGGAAAGGGTGCGTGTCTGAACAATTCCTGTGTTCCAATGTAGAGCAGGCATGCGATGTTATTGGGACACAACTTTTCCTGAAAATTGGAAAGCCACTTGTTGTTGTCTTCTGCCTTCTGGCACTGCTGTTGTGAAGTTAGATACCATCCTGTCACCCAAATCTTGATCTCTTGTGTGAAATCGTTTTTCTCTCTCTAAATGCAACTTGTGGTCTTTACGTTGTCCCCAAGAACTTCGAAACATCACTGTGATGTGTCATGGTTGAGTCTGTTTCCACTCTGTGGTGTTTACTGAAGTTCTCCTTGAGTTGAGTTGTCTGCTTTAGAAAGCATATGGGAATAACAGTGACTCTTCAAAACTGTTTGTGCTGATCAAACCAATTTTCTATACACACATACATCTGTTCTTTTCCTTTATAAAGTGTGCTAAGATGTATAACATTAAATTTATCATTGTAACCATTGTATCACACACAGTAGTGTTAAGTATCTTTACACTGTATATCGGATCTCTAGAAAAACTGAGACTCTACCCATTGAGCACTAATTGCTTCTCTTCTAGTCCTTCAAAACCGTCTTTCCAATTTCTGTTTCTATTATTTTGACTCTTTTAGGTATTTCTTGAACAGAGTCATTTGGTGTTTGTCTTTTTATGATTGGCTTTTTAAAGAAAGATTTACTAACTCTGTGTGTGAGTGCCTGCACGTATGTGCACACATGTGTGCCTGGTACCTAAAGACAGAAGAAGGCATCAGATCCCCTGGAACTGGAGTTACAGATGGTTGTGAGTTGCAATGTGGGTGCTGGGAACCAAACCCTGGACGTCTGCAAGAGCAGCCAGCGCTCTGTTGAGCAGCCAGCGCTCTGCTGGGCAACCAGCGCTCTAACTGCTGGGCAGCCAGCGCTCTAACTGCTGGGCAGCCAGCGCTCTAACTGCTGGGCAGCCAGCGCTCTAACTGCTGGGCAGCCAGCGCTCTAACTGCTGGGCAGCCAGCGCTCTAACTGCTGGGCAGCCAGCGCTCTAACTGCTGGGCTGTCTCTGGCCCCGTTGTTTGGTTCCCTGCATTCCCTCCTGAGCTCTCGGTTGTCTCCTGACTCCAGAGCTCTTGTCTCTGGTCTGCACTTTAATACACTTTATAAATCACTTTAAAACGCGGGTTCACAGCACCCAGCGCTCAGCAGTGCTCCCCTCCTCTGCTGCTCATTCCCTCCCTTCGACGACAGAGAAAGTGCTCCCTGAGAAAGCGCAAGTTCCAAACCCTGGCACCCATGTCAAAAAGTCAGGGATAGCGGCCTGACTGTCATCCCAGCCCTCGGAAGGCAGAAGTGGGATGGTCCCCAGAGCTTGCCGCCTAGCTAACCCTGTCCGAATTAGTGAGCTCCAGATTCAGTCAGAGATCCTGTCTCAAAAAAACCAAACAGGGCAGAAAGCAATTGAGGAAGACATCTGACATTGATCACTGGCCTTCACACACTTGTGTACACACACACACACACACACACACACATGAGCACACAGAGACATGTATACAACACCTTCCTATGTTGGCCCCTTTGGCATCACTTCTGCTGCTCCGAATTTTCTTAAATCAGAAGGAGGTTTCTATGGTGATGGTGGTGGTCAATGTGATATAGTAGTGGGCTTTCCCAGCCAATGACTGAGAAAGTGAAGATTTCCACTAGGGGGAGCCCCTCCCTTCCTGCCCGCTGACAGATTGATTCATGCAAATACGGTTCCCCTCTATTAAAATGAAGGCAGGCCAGAAAGTCTCAGCTGCTGCTTCTGGTCCTGGCCTGGCTGTTGCTGATGCAACAAGACACGTGCCTGTCAGGACCTGGGCCCAGTGAACGCTCTGGCTCGTTCTGGACTCTATGGATGGCAGGGGATGGGGGGAGGTGTCAGTCTCCTCCTGCACTTCCCCCCTGTCCTCTGTACAGCTCAGCCACCTCCGGTATCACAAGAGATGGTTTCTGTCTCTGTTGCGCACTCTTCTGGTTGCCATGGTGACCCCTGCGAGGATGCAAGTGGGGAGAAAAGCCACTCTTGGTGCCGTTTTCAAGATTATTTATTTTTACTGTTACTTTCACATTTTGTGAGCGCATGTATGTCTGCATGTTGAGGGGATGCATGTATGTGCTTGAGTGTGTGTGTAAGTATGGATGCAGAGGCCAGGGCACTATCTTGAGCATCTCTCCTCAAGCGCCATCCATCTTTTTTGTTTTGATTTGGTTTTTATTGCATTTGTTTTGTTTATTTATATATATTGTGTGAGAGTGTGTGTGTGTGTGTGGTGTGAGCTCACACACGGATGCACACATGCACGTGCACGATGTATGTGGAGGTTGAAAGACAGCTTTGGTTTTCTTCTTTGACCTGTGAGTCCTGGGGGTGGAACTTAGGTCACCAGGCTTGGTGGAAAGCACCTTTATCTTGGTTTTGGAGACAGGGTCTCTTACTGGTCTGGGTTCACCCATCCGACTCGGTTGGCTGACTAGTGAACCCTATAGATCCTCCTGTTTCCGCTTCCCTAAGCCTGGGGTTATAAGCATACACCAGCATGCCCAGCTTGTTTTAAAAGGTGGGAACCAGGGATTGAACTCATCTCCCCAAGCACTCCATTTCCAAGTTCGAAACAATCTATTCTTAATCCCCTCACTCCACTGCTTTCCATGATTATGTTTGGGTACTATTTGTTTCCTTTGATATTTTACCTCTTAGTAAGAGGTGCTATGGGCCAGGCTGAGCCCTGGCCCTGCTGAGCTCATTGGTCTAGACAGGATGGACACGGGCAAACTTATCTGGTACTGAGGGGCCTCATGAGAGCAGATGAAGGAGAGGATGAAGAGACGGAGAGCTCTTGCCACCTGGGAGCTTGGGGTTGCAGTTGACAGCCCGAAGACACGTAAGTCTCTAGTGGGAAAGGGAGGAGTAGGACTCAGACCACTGTCCCTTCTCTGCTTTCCAGGGTGACCATGTGTGGCTGGACCCTCCCTCCACCAGCCAGACCGGCGTGGCCATCGGGGCCATTGTCAAAGAAACGAAACCGGGAAAGGTCTTGATTGAGGATGATGAGGGCAAGGTTGGTATGGGTTCCTCTCCAACCCCCTCCCCACAGGGCTCAGGCCTCCGCTCACCAATGCCATCAAGGAAATCCATCTATCCCCGGGGCGGGATGGACTGAGATGAGTCCAGCCCTGAGGAAGGATATATCTGCCTTGAAATGTTTGGAGAGCAACAGTTGAGGACTGTTAGGGGAGCAGGAAGGAGTGAGGAGACGGTCGGAAGCAGGGAGGACGGGGGTCCAGAAACTCATGTATGGAGGAAAGGGGGCAGGAGGGACATCTTGGCGGGAAGGGTGTGCGGAGGAGGAGGAAGGGACAAAGGTGTCTGGGTTAGGAGTGGACAGCTCAGGGTGGTCAAGCTCGGAGCTTGTCCGTCTGAGAAGACAGGGGAAGCCAAGGATGGTGAGGGGACAAGCGTCAGCTGTCACGTAATGCCTCCTTGGGCCGACCTCCCTGCCCCCAGGGGCCATCAGGAGAGACACGCACAGACAATGGCCCACAGAGGAAGGTGCTGACTGCCTAGGAACCCCATAGACGGGAAGTCAATAAATAACGTGTTCCTTCTACTTGAGTAGTGCTGTGGAATGTTAAAGCTGTCCTGGCTCGCATGATTCTACTCCAAGAGCTCTCGAGGCTTCCAACTGCAAACCTGATGCTGAAGCTTCTCCTAGTTCCTACCCAAAGCTCAGCCCAGCCCCAGCCCCACACAGACCCCAGTCCCTAGACGGGTCTGAACAAAGACATAGATGGGCCTGACTTTGCCGTAGGTATCTCTTGGCCCAAACCAAGATCAAGCTTGGCCAGAGACCTGAGACTATGGAAGAGAGAGGGGGTGTAGAGGGCCGGCCTTTGTGGAGAGTCTGTGCCTGTCATTACAGGAACACTGGATCCGTACAGAAGACCTCAGCACCCTCAGGGCCATGCACCCCAACTCAGCCCAAGGGGTGGACGACATGATCCGCCTAGGGGACCTGAATGAGGCCGGTGTGGTGCACAACCTCCTGGTCCGATATAAGCAGCACAAGATCTATGTGAGTTCCTGGTGCGGTGTCCTCGGGGGGAAGGTGGGGGGGGTTCTGGAGCCTGGCACAGCTCCCCTTATCCTAACTCAGTGAGGTGGGCCGGGTGCTTGGGCTTCCTCAGTCTCTGCTACCAGTCCAAAGAGACAGGACCAAGGCTAGGGAGGGGGGTTCAGTTGGTGCTCACCTAGAATGCATGAAGCCCTGGATTCCATTCCCAACACACGAACTAGGCATAGCCGTGTCCACCTGTAGTCTCTGCACCAGGAAGTGGCAGGAGGGTAAGTTAAAGTCATCTTCAGCGACGTGAGCTTGAGGCTGGGAACACCGTACCCTGGGGGACAGGAGGCTAGCGCAGAGAGATCGCACAGTGCCAGGCACTCAGTAGACGCCCAGTAAGTGCTGCCCCTTCTGTAAGTGCCCGCCGAGTCTGCTCTCCTCTCTCTGCTTTGCAGCCTGGGGAGGATCCTGGAGGACGGCAGGGTGGGCAGAGCCTTTGGTCCCCTCAGACATGTTGCAGAGACAGTGTCAGCAGCAGATGACCTTACCCACTTGAAATAGAGTCTTGAGACTGTCCAAATGCAGGGTCCCTTCCACAGTTGAGGGTGCTCCTTCAAAACCCGGGAGTGGGTGGAGGCTGGAACTGCTCTCATCTGACTTCTGAAGTCTGAGATGGAAACTTGGTGTCATCAGTGCCTCTTGGGGTGATCAGGGCTCTGTCCAAGAGTTACTGCCTGCGACTCCTGCATGGTCCGAGCAGGCCGTCAGTCTGGCTAGCCAGGGTTAAAGTGGGGAACATGAGCCCAGGAGGGGCTTAGAGGAGGGGGTGAACTTTAGGGAGGGGTTGCTGAGGGCAGGCTTCGTCTTTTCCAGTCCAGGGTGTGTCAAGGCTCCTAGGACCATATGTTTGCAGCGCCTCCTCTCCTGCATTCTGGCCGGGGTCCTTCATGGGTCCTCAGAAGGATAATCCAGTGGGCTACTGGGACTCTCTGGTCTTGCCACCGCAGGGGCAGCTGTGCCGAGTGGGGGCAGGGCACTCAAGAGCAGACTGTACCCTGGGCTGAAAGCTCACAGAAGATGTTATTGGGGTCAGTGGGGGCAGCAGACGCCACCCAGCCTTCACAGAGACCTCTAAGAGAGGCAGGCAAAAAACTCATTCATACAATCAACGTATTTTTATTGAGCCTTTTCCAAAACTAGGTAGGGTGCGACACATCGAAGTTACTGGGAACAGGCCCTCGGAAGCTCACTGTCCTAGTAGACACCCCATGTTTCCAGAGGAAGGAGCTGAACGGCTGAGAACAGTCAAGGCCGGGGCCCAGCCAGCAGCTCCCTCCCAGGCGCTCAGCTCACTACCCACTCCCTCCCCCAGACCTACACAGGCTCCATCCTGGTGGCTGTGAACCCGTTCCAGATGCTGCCCCTGTACACCGTGGAACAGGTTCAAATCTACTACAGCCGCCACATGGGCGAGCTGCCTCCCCACGTCTTCGCCGTCGCCAACAGCTGCTACTTCAGCATGAAGAAGAACAAGAAGGACCAGTGTTGTATCATCAGGTGAGGCTCGGACCCCACTCCTGGGGCGGATGGCGGGTCATGGCCTCCAGGCCCCAGAGAATCCCAGAAAGAAGGAACACCCCTGTCCCGAAGCTCTCACGGGGCCTCTTCTTAACCGTGGTTCTCAGCAGGGGCGTTTGCCCAGAACTGTTCTGGCTGTCCTGCTACCAATGACATGGCCATCAGACCTCAAGAACATGGTCCCTGAGGACATGTCTTCCATACTCTGAGGACTCTGAGGGCTTGGAGGGACACATGCCCCTCTAATCCCTGGCTCTGCTTCCCTGCCTGGCCCAGCCTGGCCTCCCTGTGCACAGACCTTCCTCCTGCCGTGGGGGAAGGGACTATGAACGGAAAGGGAAGGAGTAAGAACTCCAGGGCCCCTAACTTGGTATTGCAATCGCCTCTCACTCATCCGTGAGCTTGTTTGTTCATTCATTCAAGATCTTTTTGCGCCTGCCCCAGGCTGCTGGAGATGTAGCCGGGCACGGGGAAGCAACAGGTCCTGTCCACACCCGCCACATGACGCGGGTGCAGTTGTGCACGCCCGCCATTCTAGCACTCAGAAGGTGGGGGGCGGGAGGATCAGACACTCACGTTCATCCTTGGATCCATAGCAAAACTTAGGCCGGCCTGGGGCACATGAAAATGCAACCCTTCCTCAAAAATAAAAAAAATAAGCAGAAAGATCTTGTTGTCCCTGATGTAACACAGGAAGCAACAGCAGGTAAAAGAGACACCAGCTCCTGCCCGAGAGCTCACGTCACAAAGCAGCGGACTGGCAGGTGGCAGTAGCACGTTTTGATGCATTGAAGGAAGCTTGACAGAGGTAGAGGAGGAGGGGAGGCTGCCTCTCTGGGCAGGGACACCAGCATGGCATCCTGGCACAGGCGCCATCTCATGCTTCGGTCCCCCAAACCTCTGACTGGGGAGGTCGGTGTCCCTGCACGGTGATGTTACGGGCATGGATCTAAGCCCCAGGTACACACACCTGCTGAAGTGTCCAGGCTCTAAGGTCCCAGGTCACATGGTTAGAGACAGATACCGTTTTAAAGAAAGGAAATGAGTTCCCTAGGGTGGGCGTAGCTTGGTAAGCTGGGGAAGCACCTACTCTAAGAGTGACAGGCCACCGGCCCCAGAAGCTTCTGTGGGTCGTTTCCCTGGCACCTGCCTTCTCCCTGGAACATCCATCACGGGTTTTTCTCACAGTGCTCTACCCCGCACAGCTCAGGGAGGAAGGGCTTCCTCATATGTTAAGCCTGGTGTAGCTTTCTCCAGTCCCTGTGTTCTGCTATGGGCCCATGGATAGGAAGTTTAAGTTCAGGGCTCCAGAGAAGGCAGGGAGGTGTTCTGGACCTTTCTGACTTGCTGCAAGAGGCCTCCCACACAGAGCCAGGCAGAAGGGCAGACTCCCTGGTGCCTGGCTCCTCATGCTCATCTTCGATGGCGTGAGCCTGGGTTCTCTTTTCGTCCTGGCTGCTGTCACAGAAGGCCAGACGGTGCTTTATAGCAGCAGAATGGGTGGCTCTGGAGCATGGGCATCAGGCCACCTTTCACCTAATTGCTTTTTTTTTATTGTATGTGTTTCTCAGAGACAGGGTCTTTCTTTTTTTCTTTCTTTTTTTTTGGTTTTTACGAGACAGGGTTTCTCTGTATTGTTTTGGAGGCTGTCGGTCCAGCCCGGCCTTGAACTCACAAATGTACTGAATGACATCACATGGAACACATGTGGCCCACAAGCCACAAGTTGGACATGCCTGCATCATAGATAGTCTGAGATGCCCCAGGGGGAACTTCAGGGCAAATGCAGCGTGGAATTTCTTCATGGGAAAGTGTGTCCCTGTTGGAATGTCCCGGACGTGGGCCTGCGGGACCAGGAGCCGGGTGGGGGACATCATTTTTAGAGAGTGAAGAGGCGCTACATGGCGGGGAGTCTCTGTCTAAGACCTCATTTCCCCACTCTCTCTGGCAGCGGCGAGTCTGGGGCCGGGAAGACTGAGACCACTAAACTCATCCTTCAGTTCCTGGCCACGGTCAGTGGCCAGCACTCATGGATCGAGCAGCAGGTCCTGGAGGCCAACCCCATCCTGGAAGGTAAGTCATGATCCTGAGACTTGGACAGGAACAGCCCTCCCCACACGTGACAGTCATTATACACGTCACGACCTTCAAGCAAGAGTGGGTGAACGGTGGTGTGTGGTCCCGAGGCAGCATGAAGGGGACAGAGGGTTATTATAAACTTCCACGATGAGCGTTTGCTGCCAGTTATACAGAGAATTTCAGGCAAATGTAGTAGTGTATGCCTGTAATCCCTTCTCTAGGAGGCCAAGGCACAGGAGCATGAATGTAAAGCCCAGGCTACATAATAAAACCCTGCTTCAAGACAGAGCAAGGATCCAGGCTCAGATGCAGATTGGATAGTTTGGGAAGGGACGAGAGGAATCAGGATTGGGCAAGGAGGTGAGGTGGTCAAGTCGGACGCCTTGCATCAGGGCTAATGCTCGCAGTCACTGTCTCACCCATCACACCGAACGGCCCTGCAGTCTCAATTTATAGTGAGCTCACAAGACCGACCTAATGACAGTGTCTGGATCAAACTCCCCCTTGGGAGAGTTGCATTAGGTGTAGTCCCTGGTAGGGGTGGCCCAGACACCTGTTAGTTGGCCCTGGGTCTGGTAGCTGCTGGACACAGTTTATCTCTTTCTCTTCCCCCATCTCTGTGATTTTACTTTTTTCTTGCACTGAGGGATGAACACGTGTGTGCAGATGTGCACATACACACGCGCGCATGTGTGTGTGTGTGTGTGTGTGTGTGTGTGTGAGCATATGAAGGTCGGGAGTCAACCTTAGGTGCACTCCACCTTTAGATTGAGACACTGACTTGAAACTTTGCCAAAACAGGCTACTCCTCAACTATGTAGCAGGAAGACCCCCCTTCCTCTGTGACCTATAAGAAGGGATCGCCGTCCCCCACCCCCAACTCAGCCACATGGACCTGAACTCTCCTCAAGGCTTCAGACATGCTGTGTTAGGGTCATGATGTCTGTCTGTCCAAAGCATTAATGACTCTAACAAAGAACTTCTTCCCCCAAAGGACAACCACCCCACTGTTCATCTTTGAACCCCAGACTCCGGCCCCTTCCACCCACCTCCCCTGAGACCCACCCAGATGACCCCTAAGAGGAGATTTTCTCCTTCCTTTCGCCCTCAGCCTTTGGCAACGCCAAGACCATCCGCAATGACAACTCCAGTCGCTTCGGGAAGTACATTGACATCCACTTCAACTCTAGCGGGGTGATCGAGGGCGCCAGCATCGAGCACTTCCTTCTGGAGAAGTCCAGAGTCTGCCGCCAGGTGAGACTCCACCGCCTCCTGGGGCTTCTTGGCCGGCATGCTCCTCTGTCACCTCCCAGACTCCGCGTGCTTCTCAGGGTTGCTGCAAAGGAAATGACTGAACTTTCTCAGCTTTGAATCCCTCGCCCTTAGAGCGTGTACATGTGCGTATGTGGTGTGTGCGTGTACACATGTTTGTGCGCGGGTACACGTTTGTGTGTGTGCAGACACACATGCGGGCACATCTGTGTGGTGGCTAGACGGTCGATGTTGGGTGTCTTCCTCCATCATGCTCCACCTCACTTTTGGATACAGGTCACTCACTGATTCAAAAACACTAGCTGGCCAGCATGCCCCAGGGATCCTGTTTCTGTCTCCCGGCAACTAGCATTACAGGTGTACACCACCACACTTGGCGTTCTACATGAGTAGTGGGGATTTGAACTCATGTCCTTGCACTGGCAACTCCCTAGCCCCAAAATATCTTCCTCCCTCCCTCCCTCCCTCCCTCCCTCCCTCCCTCCCTCCCTCCCTCCCTCCCTTGCTATGTATGTACAGGTAACTTTGAGCTTCTAGTTTCATCCATGTACTTTTCTTCATTCTTTGGTGCCTACCATGCCTCACCACCAGTGGAATTAACTCTGATGCCTGGCTGCAGCAAATCTGAGGCAAGGAGCTTTGGAAGCTGTGGCAGAGCTTCATAGCTTCTGTGGATAACAGAATAGAAGGCTATGTAACCAACATTGGGGACAGAGACAGGAAGATCCCTGGGGTTTGCTGGCCTGCCTTCCTGGTTCTAGGCCAGTGAGAGACCCTGCCTCAAAAAAAAAAAACCAAGGTAGACTCCCAAGTAACTATGTTTAAGACTGTCCTATGGCCTCCACATTCATGCTCCTCACACACGCACATACGCTCATACACAGACTAAACTAGATATGGATACACTATATAAGCAAATCATATAAATGAATCTAAGGTCTAGAAGACACACTTCTAACACAGAAAGGGCTTCTGTGGAGGGGAAAGTGGAGATCTGAGGAGGGAGGGAAGCAGTGTAGAAAGAGAGCTTATTTCATGACCCTCCACACTGAGGACAGTCTGAATTCTCACAGTGAGGATGTGGTTATAAATAGCATTTACAAACTCCACATGCCTTTTAATTCCAGCACTCAGGAAGCAGAGACAGGTGGATCTTTGTGAGTCTACAATGCAAGTTCCAGGGCAGCCAGAGCAGAGCTGCTATATAGAGAAAACCTGTCTCAAAAACAAAACCAACCAACCAACTAAATAAATCTCACATCTACACAAGCCATGGCCACTGGCTCCCCAGAGAGTCATTGGGTGACAATAAATCCGACGAAACAATGAGCTGCAGAGCCCCACAAGGCTTCCTGGGCTAGGAAGGGACATCAGGATGATTCTAAGGTCAGGCTAGCCTCTTGGCTCCTCCGATGGTACCCAGATCTTCCTCTCCTTGGAACACAGGTGACCTGGGGTGCAGGCTGGCCCTTGGGTACATGCCCGCGCTGCACATGGCTGGGAGTTCTTCAGGATGTAGCTGGAGAGGCTCTCAGGAACTTTCTCACATGTCGCTTGTCATGCCCCTCCTCCTAGGCTGCAGAGGAGCGCAACTACCACATCTTCTACTGCATGCTGATGGGGATGAGCCCGGAGGAGAAGAAAATGCTGGGTCTGGGCATGCCCTCTGAGTACCATTACCTGACCATGGTGAGCCCCCAGCTCCTCCTCCCAAGTTGCTCCCCAGAAGCCACAGGGGGGAAGGGAAGGGCTGACACATGTTCACACCTGAATCTTGACCGCTGAGGTGTTTCTCCTCTAGCCGGGCCCTGAGGTGAGTGCCGGGGGAAGGGGGGGCCCTTTCCTTCCGGTTCAGAAGCAATTTTATGGCCACCTGTTTCCCTTCTGCTCCATGTACTCCTGGAACCCAAGCTAAGGCTCTGGTCCTTTCCCACGTACCCCGTCTTTTTCCGAAGCCCTCCATGCCTACAAGAGGCTCCCAGAACAGCGGGTGGTAGGTGGCTATCCACAGACTCTGGATCCCTCCCCTGTAGGCTCGCTTGGACTACAAGCTCTTAGAACACGAGCCCTGCTTTCCAGGACAGTGAGATTCAAGCAGCTATGGGCGGCATGGCCTAACCCTCGGATCGCTTTCCTATATCACCCTTTTGGCTTTGAAGCTATGGGCGGCATGGCCTAACCCTCGGATCGCTTTCCTATATCACCCTTTTGGCTTTGAAGTAGTGGTCAAAGTGAAAGTCGTCATCAGTCCTTGCTTGGAACGTGGTAGCAGTTGCCTTTTGGGGTGTCCCTGTGACCAGTTTCGGTCTCTTGCCACTAAGATCTCACAGTGCAAATCTCTCTCATATCAGTTACCACTAGACGTTCAAGACCTTTGGCACATCTCCATTCTTCTCTGGGATCTGACCCTCCTTAAGGAGCCCTTGGACCCCCACCTCCCAACTCTGTCCTGTCGACTTCTGCCCTGTGAGAGGCCCAGCTCAGACACCTTCTTCAGGGTACCTCTCCCTACCTCCCAGTAGGGCTAGGCTTGGCCTCTGGTCTTAGCACTGGTAAGAGGCCATGGAAGGTCACTGGTCTCTCATCTGCTCCTCTTAGATATGCAGTAGCTGTGTAAGCTCACAGTAAGAGCTCCGGGCCACCGGTTCATGGCTCCTAGCAAGGAGTACAAGTCCTGATTTGAGAAGTGCTTCTGAAGGGAAGGGGCCCACTGTGTCCCCTAGAGACAGGCCAGGCAGGCTCAAGACGGACGGGCGACAGACAGAAGCCCAGAGAAGGGACCCACTCAAGTCACCCAGCCCCGCCAGCAAAGCCCAAGCGTCTTTAGCAGTGATGCCGGCAGAGCTGTCATGGTCAGAACCTGGGCCCCGGCAGCTCTAACGCCGGGCTCAACCACCTGTCCTCAAAAAGCTAACTGAGCCGACAAGGTTTCGGGTGCAGAGCAGAGAAAGGTTTCTTCAATGTGGCTACACTTGGAAGAGACGGAAAGTCAAACATCCTCCAGGCGGTTCCGTACGTGGATCCTGACATGAAATTTAGGCTTCAATGGAAGGCAAGACTATACTAACTAGGCAGCCTCAGCTCAGCTCTAGTCCTCCCGAGAGGTGTCATAACTGTGTGAAATCTCTCCCTCTGGCTGGCACCAGGCCCTTTTCTTCTCACAGACGAAATTCCTGGGGAAATTCCAGATTCCTAGGGTCTGAAAGCCAAATGAAGGGGCACACGTGTCTCCTTAGAATACCTCCATGTGATCTTGCCTCTGGGAACCCCTTGTTTTGGTTTGGTTTTTGCTAAGTTGGGTTACACGAGTAACCAGAGTCCACCCAGAGTCTATAAGCTGGCTTTTCAGGGGCCTTTAACTGAGTTCCTGAGCCGTCTTGGCCTCGCTGGCTCCTGTCTGTCAGCAGATCTGGGGTGGCTCTGTCAGCTGACGTGTCCTGTTCTGGTAGGGGAACTGCACATCCTACGAGGGGCTCAGTGACGCCAAGGACTACGCGCATGTCCGCTCGGCCATGAAGATCCTCCACTTCTCAGACTCTGAAAACTGGGACATCAGCAAGATGCTGGCGGCCATCCTCCACCTGGGAAACGTGGGGTTTATGGGTAACGCTGTTCTTGTCGTGGTGTCACCCCTGGGGAGGTCGAGAAGAGGGACAGGGAGAGCAGGAGAGACAAGTCTCTGGGTCCTTGTGCCAGAAGGATCACGCGGTCAAGCCCAGCCTTGGAAAAATACATCCTAAAAGGCATGACTATGATTTTGCAGTCCTCTGGGGTCTGGGGAGGCATGAAAGCGCTGGGCCTCTACAGGTAAAGAATCAGGCCGTGGGTGGAGGAGACAGCTGTCAGTAAGGCTGTTGACATGCAGGCAGCAGGGCATGGTAGCATGTGGGGGGGGGCAGAGGCAGGAAGACCCTGGACCTCCCCGACAGGCCAGCCCAGCTGAAACAGTGAGCTCTAGTACAGCGAGGGACTCTGTCTCAAAATGCAAAATGAAGACCTCTACCATCAACTTCACACATATACTACACACATGGGCATGCAAAAAAACCACAAAACATAAGGTGGAGAATGATCAAGAAAGCCACCTCTCAACCTCTGGCCACACACATGGACATGTGCACACACACACACACACACACACACACACACACACACACACACACACACGGACAAGTGCACACACACGGACAAGTGCACACACACATATGGACATGTGCACATGCACACACACATGGACATGTGCACACACACATGGACATGTACACACACATGGACATGTGTACACACACATGGACATGTGCACATACACATGGACATATGCACACACACATGGACATGTATACATACACATGGACATATGCACACACACATGGACATATGCACACACACATGGACACGTGCACACACACATGGACACATGCACACACACATGGACATATGCACACACACATGGACACGTGCACATACACATGGACATATGCACACACACATGGACACGTGTACACACACACATGGACATGTGCACACACACACCTCCTAAGTGCCATACAGGGACACAATGTAGGTAATGAAAAGATAATGAAAAAGAGAAGAAATGGTTTTCATGAAACTTAGAGAGTGGTGTGTGTGTGTGTGTGTGTGGTGTGTGTGTATGGTATGTGTGTGGTGTGTGTGTGTGGTGTGTGTGTGTGAGTATGTGTGTGTGTGGTATGTGTGTGTGTGGTGTGTGTGTGAGTATGTGTGTGTGTGTGGTGTGTGTGTGTGTGTGTTTATGGGTGTGATGCTTGGGACTGAACCCAGATTCTCACACACAGTAGGCAAGCACTCTACCACTATACTACACTCTTAGTCCTCACAGCTTTTAAAGTTAAGACGAAACACCCTCAGTCCTTTTTAGGCTGAGGCTGTCCGAGGAGGAACTGGAGGTAGAGCTGAGTCAGGGGACTGCTGCTCTCAGCTGGGGCTCCATCAGTACACCGTCTCACTTCACGGATGCACAGATGTCTTGGCTAATAAGGCAGCATAGGGAAGCAAAGGAAACCGACAAACCCCAGCCAGCCTCAGCATCCCAACCCAGTCTCCCACCCCACTAGGCCCCTTGTCCCGGGCTCCTGCAGCTGGGGACCGTGGCCTGTTTCACTGGTTCAGCTAAGTTGGTGATGACGGGTGGTCAGTGGGGAAATTCAGTGTCCTGGGAGAGGAGGGAGGGGCTCTTCTCTGCTGGGCACAGTGTTTGCCTGCCCGGCCCTCTATGATTAGATCCCTCTCAGGACGATGGCTTCTCTCCCCAGCTGCGGTCTTCGAGAACCTCGATTCCTCTGACGTGATGGAAACCCCAGCCTTCTCCTTTGCAATGAAGTTGCTAGAGGTATCGGATCGTCGTATCTGCTACTAGTTCAGATTCTCTGAGAGACCTTGGGGGCTCCGGCTGACTCTCATAACCCTTCCCAGGCCCCCATTCTGTCCCCCACTCTTTCCCGGGCTTTCGGCCTGCATACTGGGGACTCCTGGGGGTGAGCACCAGGGTGGGGGCAGGGTGAGCTGATTATTAACACTGAAGTGACCAGTGTACCCCGGTGAGCGTGTCTTCTCCCTCTTTTCTGTACCCTTTTCTGCCTTTCAGTGGTTCAAGACCCACCCACTCCCTGTGGGCTCCAAGCCCCATAGTCACCGGAATGTCTGTTTTGTATTATCCCACATCAGCTATGCCTTTTTTTCTGGTCCGAATTAGTCTGTGGCTCAGCATAGAAGGTCCCAGAAAGCAGAAGAAATCCTCACGAGCCAGCCACCTCCCAAAGCCCCACTTGCAAACGTCATTGACACATACACTTGGGGATCACACATCGTCTTAGGGTCCCCATTGCTGTGAAGAGACACCATGGCCATGGCAACTCTTAGAAAGAAAACATTTTGTTGGGGTGTCTTGCTCACAACTGAAGACGTTCAGCCCGTTATCATCATGACGGGGAGCGTGGCGGCGGGCAGGCAGACGAGATGCTGGAGCTGAGAGCACCACATCCTGCAGGCAACAGGAAGTCAACTGAATGAAACTTGAGAAAAGTGCCTCAAAGCCCGCCCCCACAGTGGCACACTTCCTCCAACAAGGCCACACCTCCTAATAGTGACACTCCCTTTGGGGGCCGTTCTCTTTCAAACCACCGCATGTATCCAACACAGACACTCAGGGACACCCATTCAAACTGTAGCAGGGGCTCCAAACCCTTGGCTCGTGCCGTCTGTCTTCTCTGCCTGGTGAGGAGGGCTCACTGTCCTCCAGCCTTCCTTCCCTTGCTCCCTTTCCCCCAGGCCCAGAAGACCAGCTCGTTCAGGCTCCCCGACAGGCAACATTGTAAAGGCACTCATGAGACCCGAGGCTGTGACCCCCACAGCCCTGGTTTTGGTCCAAGGCATTTCCTCCCGCCAAGGGGTCTTTGGTCACGAGAGGGAACAGGAACCGTTGCTGAGTCCCAAGCCAGGCTCTGCCGCATAGGTAGGACGTGGTCCTATTCCCTTCCCAGGTGCAGTACCAGGCTCTTCGAGACTGTTTGGTCAAGCACACCATCCCCGTCCGTGGAGAGTATGTCTCCAGGCCCTTGAACATTGCGCAGGCTGCAGACCGAAGGGACGCCTTTGTCAAGGTACGAAGCCACAGGGCAGGTCAGAGCAGAGATGGACGGGCAGGTCCCAGCTTGGGGGTCACATCCTTGGGAGGTCAACGGTCACCAGTCTGCAAGCAGCCTTTCTGGGTAACGGCTTCTTCCTTTGTCTCAGAGACTAAATCTCCACCCTGTGTCTCCCCAGGGCATCTATGGACACCTCTTCCTGTGGATCGTCAAGAAGATAAACGCTGTGATCTTCACACCAGCAGCCCAGGATCCCCAAAGTGTGCGGAGGGCCATCGGTCTCCTGGACATATTTGGTTTTGAAAACTTCCAGAACAATAGGTATAAAGACCTTAACCTACATTATTTCTGAAAATAGTATATGAAGGGATAGGAAGACATCCCAGTCAGTAAAGTGTTTGCCATGCAAGCTTGAGTCTTCTCCTTCTCCAGCTCATGGGGAAAGCTGGGCTTGGTGGCGGCACACGCTTGTAATGCCAGTGCCTGGGAGGTAAAGACAGGAGGACCCAGGTGGCCCACTGGCTAGCCAGGCTGGCTTGATTAATGAGGAGACCCTGTCTCAAAAATCCAAGCTGGATGGCGTCAGGGACTAATATCTGAGGTTGATTCCACACATATGCATACATGCACAACACACCTGTGTATATCACACACACACGCGCGCACACATGCGCGCACACACACAAAGATGAGCAGTGATTCCAACCGAGCTTGAGGAGAGCTGTCCCCTTCCCCCACCTTCCCCTGGCCTCTAAGCTGGGAGAAAGGACTTCACACTCCCAATTCATAATACCGCAGTGTCTGCAAGCAAGTCTGGGTCTTCCTGCAAACACAGCCTGCATAATCTTAACAACCCAGTGCCCAAAGGAGTCTGTGTAACCAAAGGCCGTCCCCAAGGGTCAGCTTACTTCCTAGTATTGCTCACCCCGACCCCTGGGACCCACTGACTCTCTTCCTGATCTTACCACATGGGGTCAGGGTGGCAGCAGAGATCAATAGCACTGACCCTTCCAGGAGCCTTTGTGGACCTTTTCTGATGAGTAAGCTCAGGCTGGAGGGATAGCTCAGCCATTAAAGGCTAGACTTACAACAACAAAAATATATATAAGGCATGAGTAAGCTCGGGCAGAACATCTCTGATGCAGTGTCACAGAACAGCTGGAAGCAGGCGTGGGCATTGCCACCAGACACCAATGAAGGCTGGGGAAGGAAACGAGGGGTCCCAGATCTAGGCAGGTGACATCCAGGACAAAGCCACAGGCAACAGGTGGTCAGAGGGGACGTGAAGGCAGGGATGCTGTTCCAGAGCTCTTAGGGTCAGTACCTGGGCCCTGATAGTCCCCTGGAGTCAGAGAAAAAGGAAGCATGTACTTAGAGGTGTGTACGCAGGAGGTTTTGTGTGTGTATGCAGACATGTCTGGGGCAAAGATGCCTCATGACTCCAGGGCTCCCCCGGCTGTAGTGGTACCCAGTTGACCCTGCCCGCACTGAGATGATGGTGGTGATTCCACAGCTTTGAACAGCTCTGCATCAACTTTGCCAACGAGCATCTTCAGCAGTTTTTTGTGAGACATGTGTTCACGATGGAGCAGGAGGAGTACCTCTCTGAGAACATCACCTGGGACTACATCCGCTACACCGACAACCAGCCCATCCTGGACCTGCTGGCCCTCAAGCCCATGAGCATCGTCTCCCTCCTAGATGAGGAGAGCCGCTTCCCACAGGTAGGTGTCTGCATCTTCCGCAGAGAGGAACCTGGATGCCGAGTCTGTTCTCCGAGGTCAAGCAACGCCAGGGTGCTGAGTGCGGAGGGCAGACTTGTGCATGGGGTCGCCACCACCTCTACCGTACAAGGCCCAGCTCAGCACACCTCCTGCAGGGAGGCTTCCCAGACTGCTAAAGACCTGGACGATTGTCCGGTGGGTGGCCTGGGAGGGCCGGCAAAGGAGTAGCCCCCTAGTCTCCGTCCCTGTGCCTTCACTACAAGCTGCCAGGCAATGTGGGCGGGTTGTCCACCTATAGTGTGCTGTAAGTCGTCTGGAGCCCAGCTTGCTTTGCCTCCTGCCGGCTGGCCTCCCGACCTCCTCGTGATACTGGGGCCTCAGCCCATAGAGCATCTGGTTTCTCCCAGGGGACCGACGTCACTATGCTGCAGAAACTGAGCAGTGTGCATGCCAACCACAAGTCCTTCCTGAGACCCAAGAACATCCATGACACCCGATTTGGGATTGTGCATTTTGCCGGCGACGTATACTACCAGGTAGAAGGTGAGCACAGCTCTGGGTATGACCCACCTGGGAACAACTCGGGATACCCTAGGAAGGAGGAGGTCAGGGAAGAGAGGAGGCGGCTGCAGATGGCTGTTCAGCTCCCTTTCTCCACTTTCGCAGTCCAGGATCCCAGCCAGGGAATGGTTCTGCCCACTGTGGGCAGGGCTTTCTGCCTCAATAGAAGCAATGAAGGCAATCCCCCATCACCCAGGCAGTCCCAGAGGCCTGCCTACCAGGTTGACTAGATTGCATAAACTGACAAACACTAACGGCCGCACACATCATGGACGCCCTTTGCGGCTGGTTCAATTAACTTACTCTAAGGTTTTTGAGGCTTGTCTAAGGTGTTAAGGCGGGGGGGTGAACCCCAAGTCCTCATGCTTGCTCACTGAGCACTTCACCAACGGAGTCTTCTCCCCGGCCGCCTTTGTTTCTTTCCACTGCAGAAGAACGGTCTGTGGTACTGGCCCGCGCTCTCCTTCTCTCCTAGTCCGTGGGGATTTGCGTTGGTTCCCTACACACCTGTGACACACAGCTGTGAACCCCCGGTGTGGGCTCGGGTGTGGACACAGATTTTCTCAGCACACACCTCGCAGTGGATTGCTAGGTCATGTGTGGCTCTTGAGGCCCCACAAAACTCTTCCCGAAGTAGCTGTGCTGTCTTACGTTTTTAGATGCGTATGCAGGAGAGCCCCGGCTTCTCTGCACGCTTTTGACCTTGTGTTAGCAGAGCCTGGCTTGCAGGAGTCTGTCCTCTTCTCCCGCAGCTCAGCCCGCAGCTCAGTCCTGAGAACTGAACTCAGGTCCTCAGACTTGGTAACACGTATCTCTCTACCTCCCTGGCCGTTTCAGAAGCCTATAATGGAGTCATCTATATTCTGCCTATAAGTACCTTGTCAGTTTTTAATTTCAAGTTTGTAATTTTATTCTCATCCTGAGGGGCTTGTCCTTTTTCTTTCATTTTGGTGGCTGCAGATGGAGCCCAGGGCCTAACACACAGTAGGGCTCCTTCTTTCCCACTGAGCTATATCCCAATTCCTTGAGTTTTGTTGTTTGCTTGTTTGTTTGTTTGCTTGCTTGCATTTTCAGTAGGGGCGCGATGCATAGCTCATCCTTCACCTCCGAAATATCTGGCATTGTATGTGTGGACCACCACGCCTGGCTTCATACCACGGTATTACTGATGCCAAAGGTTTTACTTTAAAGAAGTCTGGTTTATCTCCTGTCCTTTTGTTGCTTGTGTTGTAGCTTATAGTAAGGTCTACTGTCATGAAGGCCTTCTTTTTCGTTGGTTTTGTTTTGAGACAGGGTCTCCCTATGTAGACCTGGCTGCCCAGGAACTTGCTGTATAGCCAGACTGGCCCTAAAGCCCCTGCTTCCCGAGTGCTAGAATTTACACCCATGAACCACTCCTCCTGCCTCTCGTTGCTTATCTCTGCCTTGTTTTTGTAAGGCAGCACCTCCTGCCGTCCAGGCTGGCCTTCAACTCACTGTGAAAGCCGCCTTGAACTGCGGACACGCCTCCCAAGCACTGAGATTCGCACCGCCATGCCCAGCTTGTGTGGTGCCGGGAACCGAACCCAGGGAATCATGCTTGCTAGGCAAGCCCTCAACCGACTGAGCCGTATTCCCAGCTCCTCTCATACACAGTCTTACAGGAGGTTCAGGTTTTACTCTTGGACATTGGATGCACGAGTTAACTTCACACTGAAGTCAGGTCCCTCAGGGTTCTGAGGGGAGAAACAAAGGGCTAAGGCGTCAGTCCGTCAGTCCGAGGTGCTTAGAAGAGTGGGAAGGTGGCCCGTGTGCTCTCGTGGTCAGGACAGCAGGGTAGGGGCATCACCCATAGAAGTCTTTAAGCAGAGATGCGGATCTAGGGGCGATCCTTGCATGCTCTTCCTTCAGGGAGGCAGAGGAGCAGAACGGCTGGTAGCTGACCCCTGAGGAAGCAGAGTCTGGAGGTGGGGGGCTCTGGGGGGAAACTAGGAAGATGGGGCTCCTTCACAGTCCCTGCCCCCACCCTGGCTTTAAGCTTTCGGAAAGTGAGTCCCTGCGATAGTCAGGGTTCTCTAGAAGAACAGAACTAATGGAATCAATCTATGTTAAAAGGGCATTTATTAGAGGAGTTTACAGACTCTGGGCCAACAATGGCTGTCTCCCGATGGGGAGGCCAGGAATCTGGTGGTTGTTCAGTCCATGAGGGTGAGTGTCTCGGTTGGTCTTTGGTCTATGCTGGGACCCTGAAGCAAAGGGATGCCTGAGCAGCAGGAAGTGAGGGCGAGCAAGCAGAAAGGAAAGCTTCCTGCTCCGGTGTCCTTTTATAGAAGCTGCCACCGGAAGGTGTGGCCAAGATAGGTCTTCCGACCTCAAATGATCCAGATTTAGGGTGGGCCCTCTCTCTCTCTCTCTCTCTCTCTCTCTCTCTCTCTCTCTCTCTCTCTCTCTCTCTCTCTCTCTCTCTCTAATGTGTGTGTGTTCTAAATATTTTATTTATTTATTTTACATTCCAATAAGTTTCCAGTTTCCCCTCCCTCTTCTCCTCCCCTCCCCCCTCCCCCTCCCTTCCCCCATCCCACCTCCCATCTGCCCCTCAGAGAGGATAAAGTCTCCCCTAGGAAGTCTACGAAATCTGTTCCATTATCTCATCCCATTTCAAATGACCCTATTAAGCAAACTCCCTTGCAGGCATGCCCAACTGCTTGCGTTTTAGTTGGTTCCAGATGTGGTCAAGTTGACAACCAATATTAGCAATCATAGTCCTGGAATCCAAAGAGGACATTGAGCCCATCCTCCAGCACCCCTAAATATTCAAATATTCAAGAGTGAGCTATTTTTGTTTTGTTTTGAAGTGACATGAAACTTAAGAGTGAAGGGACTAGAGCTGGCACAGGACACATCCAGACCCTTCTCATCAGAAAGACTTATTTGCTCTAGAGGGACAGAGAGCCAGGAATGGAAGACAAGGGAGGGGAAGGAATAATTGCCCTGGAGGGACAAAGGATATTTCCCTCTGGAGAGAGAGGAGATACATGTGGCCTGTAGGCAATGGCAGTTTATAAAGGGAAAGAGGAGACGCCCTGTGTTAGGATGAGGTGTTTAATTTTGATTGGACAGGTTAATTGGATGAGTCAAAAGGGGGCTTTTGATTGCTGGACCTCAATACTTTCATAGCTGGACCTTGGTGGTCAGCCTCAGGAGGAGGAAGTGGCCAAACAGGGAATAGACTTTGGTTGCAAGCTTTAGGAATGCAATCTAATGGTTTAGCACGGCAGAGAGAATGGCAGAGAAGGGTAGAAGGCAAAAAACTGTCTGTGCCATGTCTGCCATACTCCAGCCTGCCAGCGCCCTTTCAAGAGGATGCTAAGCGTCAGGAAACTTCTTTCTCCAAGCACAAGGACCTAATTTAGAACACCCAGATTCCACAAAAACCAGAGGCATGTCTGATCAGACACGTCTCCCATCCTCCATAGTCGCAGCACTGCTGTGATGAAATGGGACACGGAGACAGGGGAGTCCCTGGGAGTTCAAGGGCCAATGGCCTGGTGTGCACAGTGCTGAATAACAAGAGATCCAGTTGAGACAGAAGGGGGCAGTCTTCTGACCGCCACACAGGCACCATGGCATTCTCATGCCCATACTCTCACACACGATTGCACGTGCATGCATGCACTCGTGCACACACACACTTGCATGCACACACACACTTGCATGCACACACATACACACGCACACCCATGCACACATGCATGCACACACACGCATGCACACAGAGTTTTTAAAAACAAAAGCAGGGCTGGGTAGTTAGCGCCAGGTCTCGCCCCAGCATTCGATCCCCAGCACTACGTAAGCCAGGCACAGCGGTACATGCCTGTAATCCCAGCTGCCAGGAGGTGAAAGCAGGAGGGTTAGGCGTTCAAGATCATACTCAGCTACAAAGCAAGTTTGAAGTCACCATGGGCTATATGACACCTGGTCTCAAAAAACATAAAGCAGTCAACAAAAATGCTACATGTCTTGTTTTCCTTTTGGGCTACCCTGCTATACCTGTGATTTCATACGATGATGGTTCAGAGGTAGCCATCTTTCCCTGGGACCTCACACAGTCTTCTCTCAGAGTTTAATGGCACTGGCGCACCCTCTTAACCGCATTTTGAAGGCCCCTCTCAGGTTGGGGAAGTAGCTCAGTCAGTAAACTGCTTTCTGTGCAAACTCGATGACTGGAGTCAGTCCTCAGAAGTCATGAAAAAAGACAGAGCTGTAAACCCAGCACCAGGGAGGCAGATCCCTGGGGCTCTCCGGATAGCCGCCTAGACTATTTGGTGAATTCCAGGCTAATGAGAGACTCTGGTGTGTGCGCGATCATACACACACACACACACACACACACACACACACACACACACAAAGTTAACAGCACCTGACCTATACATACACATACACACAGGTACACATGGGCACGGCACTTACACAAACGTGCACATTTACATGCACACAAACCTTTCTCTTCAAACATGAGATCCGTACTGGATCCATAAGTACAGGGAGCAAGGACCCCCAACCAATAAATTTGTGTGGATACAATTCAGTCCAGAACACTCTCCTCCCGTTTCTGAAGGCTAGTTCAGGCTGGGGAAACTAACCCTAACAGAATGCCCGAGACTCAGGAGCAAAGTAACTGTATTCACTTAGACAGCAGTGGGCAGGGGGTCGGGGTGCAGGGGGGTGAGAGTTTAGAAGTGACTTAGTGGGGACAGACGTTCGTCTGAGTGGAGGACACAGTATGCTTCAGGGAGACACTCGGGAGTCCCTCCAGACGTTCTCATCTTACTCAAGGGATGGGAGAGAGGACTCGACTGACCTGAGGGGCGACCATGCTGTCCCCACAGGCTTCCTGGAGAAGAACCGAGACATGCTGAGCACAGACATCCTCAACCTGGTTCATTCCTCCAAAAACAAGTTCCTGAAGGAGGTATTCAACCTGGACTCACCGCAGACAAAGCTGGGCCAAGGCACCATCCGCCAGCTGAACGCAGGAAGCCAGTTCTTCAAGGTGGGCTCCTCACCTGCCACCCGCACTCTAAGGCACCGGCCCGGACAGATATGACCAGGGAGAGTGAATACTAGGAGTCTCCGGTGTGCAACATCCCTGGCGTTCACCATCCTAGCATGCCCCACCCCAGCATGCAACATCCACAACGTGCAGCATTCCCAGCACGCAGCATTCCCAGCACGCAGCATCCCAGCATGCAGCATCCCAGCATGCAGCATCCCAGCACGCAGCATCCCAGCACGCAGCATTCTAGCACGCAGCATCCCAGCATGCACCATCCCAACATGCAGCATCCCAGCATGCACCATCCCAACATGCACCATCCCAGCATGCACCATCCCAACATGCACCATCCCAGCATGCACCATCCCAACATGCACCAGCCCAACATGCACCATCCCAACATGCACCAGCCCAGCATGCACCATCCCCGGCGTGCCCCATCCTAGCATGCCCCATCCCAGCATGCAACATCCACAATGTGCAGCATTCCCAGCATGCAGCATCCCAGCACGCAGCATCTACAGCATCCCCAGTGGGCAGCACCACAAGCATGTAGCTGGCACCCAAGGAGGCTGGTACTGGAGTGAAGGAGAGAAAGAGGGAATGAAGGTCAGAGAGAGAGAAGGAAGGAGGGAAAGGAGAAGAGGAGAGAGAGACGAACAGAGGAAAGGAGGAAGAGATGGAGTAGAGAAGAAGGGAAACGGGCTGGAGCGATGGCTCCGTGGGTGAGAGCGCTGACTGCTCTCCCAGAGGACCTGGTTCGATTTGCCCTAGGTGGCGAGCCTCACTGCGGCATGATCCCCAGCTCCCCGGGCGTAGCTCCCCTGCCCTTACGCCCCTTGATTTCTCTTTGCAGTCGTCAGACCACGCCAAGCGCCCCCCCCTCACCCTCGCAGGCCAGTTCAAGCAGTCCCTGGACCAGCTGATGAAAATTCTGAGTCACAGCCAGCCCTACTTCATCCGCTGCATCAAGCCCAACGAGTACAAGAAGCCACTGGTAACCGGGAGGGGTTGGGGCGTGCCGGGATGGGGGGGTACTGAGGGGTGAGTTTGACACATAGAGCTGACATCCAGGGCATGGCCAGCATCATAGCTGTCCCCTGTCCCCACGTCACAGAAAACTGGTGCGAGCTGGTCCCGCCAGGCTTCAGCTCGCTCACACGCTAGCTTTTTAGTCATTCCGTCATCTGCTGTGTGAGCCTGGCTGGCCAGGCTCTTAGCCTCGCTTTTCTTAATTCTTCATAAAGTCAGACTTAATGCTTGTCTGTGGGATGTTGGAAATGAAGCTGTGGTCACGAGAATGTCCTCATGACCCAAACTATCTTTGGGCAGTCAGCAGTGACAAACTCCAGCAAGCAAGCTCACCTCACCTGGGGCTTTAGATTCAGGGTTGGTCCGAGTCTGGTCTCACATTCTTTTTTTTTTTAATTTTATTTATTATTAAATATACAGTGTTTTGCCTGCACACCAGAAGAAGGTACCAGATCTTATTACAGATGGTTGTGAGCCACCATGTAGTTGCTGGGAATTAAACTCAGGACCTCTGGAAGAGCAGTCAGTGCTCTTAACCTCTGAGTCGTCTCTCCAGACCCTGGTCTCACATTCTTACATGGTTGGCTCACCTGTATGGAACTGTGCCATCTGGCCCTTGGGGTCAAAGTTTATATTTGGGGAGGCAGAAACTCAGGAGAATCAAAACTTACGTTTGGGAACCAGACACTGTAAATGTATGTAGGGGTTTACAAAACGGCGTTTTCTCCAAACGGAATGTTCTTGTCTTAACCTTTTGATAGGAAAGACACCATGTTTCTCAGAAGAGGGTGTAACGAGGGCAGGAGGTTACGCTATGGCATGTCTTCCATATAGAATCCACAGTACCGAGAGGCAACAGTTATTCCAAATGCCGGCACTGATGAATCAGGCCCACTCCTGTATAAAGAGACCCGCAGGAGCTCTCTCCTCAAGTGATGGGGACTAGGTGGACGCCTTGATCCATAGAACCTGCTTCCCCAAAGGCTGTAAGCACAGACGCTCCCCAAACTAGGAAACGTGACTCGCAAAGCCAAAGTAACTAAAAACCGTGTTGTAGGGCAATGAAAGGATACTTGTGCATATGTGTTAGCATATGTATGCATGTGTGTATTGTGGGATGCACATATGTGTACACGGAGGGTAGAGCTTTAAATTTGGTATCTTCTTTTATTGCACTCCAAGTTACATGGCTTTTAAATTATTTTATTTTATACGTATGAATGTTTGGCCCACACACATGCGGGCACCACGTGTGTGCCTGGTACCCACTGAGGCCGGGACTTAAATGGAACTCCCTTAAGAACTGGAGTTACGGATAGTCGTGAACCATAACGTGGGTGCTGGGATGCAGCCAGTGTTCTTAACTACTGAGCCATCTCTCCAGCAACCACCCCCCACATAAAAGCACATGTGTCTACGTGGGCGCATGTGCACATGAGTGTAATTGCTTGTGAAGACCAAAAGACAGCGTCAACTCCCCTGTAGTTGGGACTGCAGGCCACCGTGAACTTCCTGGGCAGGGATGCTATGAACTACACTTATGTCTTCAGCAGGAACACATCTGCTCTCAGTTGCTGGGCCACCTTTCCAGCCCCTGCTGTTAAGAGAAGCTTTTTCTTTGCTAGCCGCTTTGGTTTATCCCCCGCCAGCCTCCTGGGCTCTGCTGTGTTGTAGACCCCAAATAACACACAAGACGCTGTATTAATTATGAAGCTGTTGGCCTTGCTTGTTTCTTACTGGCTAGCTCTGACTTAAGTAATTACCCCATAATAGTTAATCTAAGTATTTCTCTTACCAGAGAATAGTTCCAGGCTTCCTACACCATGGCGATTACATCTCGAACTCTCTGTGTTTCTCCTTCCCAGAATCCTCCTGGACTCCTAGCCCCACCTATCTAGATTCCTATTGGCCAGCAGTAATTTATTGACATATACACAGGACTTCCCCAACACCCTGCACCTTATTTGTTGAGACTTGGCGTCTCAATGAACCCCAGTGCTTGCAGATTTAGCTAGACTAGCTAGCCAGCAGGCCCCCGAGAGCTGCTCATGCCCTCTCTGCCTCTGCCTCCCAGTAGCTGGGATTAAACGTATGTGCCACCACTGCCAGCTTAGATGCTCTTATTCCCCATGTTGGGAAACATTGTCTTGCTCTTAGAAGTTGTGCGGGTAGCCACGCTGCCTGTCCTAGGCTGAGGCTCACATTCTGTGGTGATAAGAATTCATCTCAGTGGCAGCATCTGCATGCTGTGAATTGTGGAGAAGAGGCCTAGGCTGAGGACCAGACAGGCTCAGCCACCAAAGAGCGTGGCCTTGGCTTTCAGGTATCACATCTTTAAACTAGAGCCAATCATGCCCATCACTCACCTTGTTGGGGAGACTCTACAGACTCCCAGGACATGCTCAGTCAGTAACAGCTGGGTATTTGCCCAGGGCTAACCACGGTGACCCTCACCAACCTGCCCATGGGCTTGTCTACTTAAAGGGTGCCATCGCCCCTAATACTTCATGTTGAGAGTACCCTCAGCAGTCTTGGAGACAGAAGAGAAGCTAAACACCCCACCCAGATTCCTGTCAGCCACGCCATTCTTCAACCTCAGCTCCTTCCCCTCCACCCAGCTGTTTCTGTCCATGCAGAGGAGAGAGACCTGAAGGGTCTCTGCCTCTAAGCAGATTGGCTTCCTCCTTCCACGGAGGAGGGGAGGCACTGCGCCCATGCTGATGTAAGCAGGGCCCACTTAAAGACATTGCATTTCTAAGGGGGGGCATTTGCAAATGACTCCCCCACCAGCACCGCATGCGTGTGGAGGTGGGGTGCAGGCCTGAGGAAATCTTCTGGTGCTGCTGCTCATCAGGCCCTGTCTTAGACAGAGTTTCTATGGCTGTAATAGAACACCATGACCAAAAGCAACTAGAGGAGGACAGGGTTTCTTTCAGCTCACAGCTCCACCTCACGGGAAGGAACTCAGAGCAAGGCGAGAATCTGGAGTCGGGGAGTAGAGCAGAGGCCACGCAGGATTGCGGCCTGTTGGCCTGCTCCTCGTGGCCTTCTCAACCTGCTTTCTTATACACTCAAAGACCGCCAGCCTAGCGGTGATGCTGTCCACGCTGGGCTGGGCCCTCCTGCGTTAACCACCTGTTAAGAAAACGCACTACAGGCTTGCCTGCAGGCCTGTCTGGTGGGGGAATTTTCTCAACTCAGATCCTTTCTTCCCAAACGACTCCAGCTCGTGTCAAGCTGACACAAAACTAAACCAGTATCCCCCACACACACACACACATGCTTCTTGTCTCACAACAGGGCCAAGTTTGGCCTTGTGATCCTCCTGCTTCTGCCTCCCAGGGATCGGATGTGTGGCCGCCACAATCCACCTGGGTTCCAGTTTCTATGTCATTGTCTTCCATGTCCTTGGAGACATTTTCAGTCACTCCCACTGCTGTCCTCAGAAAGTCACCTGAGATCTGGGTGCAGTGTGACACGCTTGCAATTCCCGTACCTGAGAGATAAAGTAGAATATTATGCCAAATTCTGGGGAACAACCCCCCCAATAAAAACAGTCATTTTAGTTCGGTCATGCATTTGTTAGGTTCTTCTGGTGTCAGGGATGGCTGCATGGGCCCCTAGGCAAGCTGACACCCACCCACCCCCGCCCCACTCCCACCCCACCCCCAACCCCCGGCAGCAGCAACAGTGAGTGATTTTGGAAGGTGGGGTCCTTGGCTCCTCACCCCAGTCTTCTCTCCCCGCAGCTGTTTGACCGGGAGCTATGCATTCGGCAGCTGCGTTATTCCGGCATGATGGAGACCGTGCAAATCCGCAAGTCAGGGTTTCCCATCCGCTACACGTTTGATGAGTTCTCGAAGAGGTTCCGCATGCTGCTGCCCAGCTCCGAGCGCAAACAGGTGTGTGTCCAGCAGCTGACAGAACCCTCGCGCCTCCCACTGAGTCCTCGCCACCGTACTGATCTCCTGGGCCCTCCGCGGATCCCCAGCCTCAACATGACCTCTGTCTGTCCTTCCTCTTGTCCCCCTACTTTATCTTTGTGCTGTATTGGCAAGGTGGCTGACCCACGCTGGCTCCTGGTTGATGCTGGTGGCTGAGTGTGTGTGCCTTTTAGGTGTCTGTGGGTTTACTCCGCTCTCCTGAGGACACCAGGTCCAGGATCGGAGGGGTGGTTAGGGAGCTCTGAGGAATAGAATGTTCTGCCATCCCTCGGCAGCAACCATCCTAAAGTTTGGGTTGGTCTGAGGCTCAGTGCTCCCAAGCTGCAGGGAGGCCCCAGGCCCATCAAGTTCCCTACATTCCCCTCATCCATTCAACCTGGAGTGTATACAAGTGCCCGAGTATAGTCAGAAAACCCTTGTCGGGAGGCCTGTATGACATAGGGGCCTCTGCTCGAGCGGCCCTGGAGGAGCCCCCTCCCCTCCAGAGGCCCTGGCCACCCCTCGTTTCCTCAACAGTTTCAAGACAAGCACCGCCAGATGACCTTGCGTATAGTTGACCGGTGCCTGGGGACAGACAAAGACTGGAAAATGGGAAGAACCAAAATCTTCCTGAAGGTGAGATCCCCTGGCCTCCTGGGAACATTGTGGAGGGGAGGGGAAGAGCTCTGCCCTGCCTGCCCCGTCCCCAGCTGGGCTACGTGTGGGTTCCTCTAACCGTCCATCCATTCATGCACTGTTCGTCCCATGATGGGGATCTGGGATCCAAACAGGCAGGAAGTCGTAGAGAGACAGGGCAACAGAGGGAATATCCCAAGGGAGCCGCCCGGGAAGATGGAGTAGCCATGAAAGGCCACACAGAGCAGCACAGGGTGAAGTTGGTGACGGAGAAGGGGTGAGAAGGTTCTCTCCTACATTCCTGGCTCCTGAGTCGATGCTCAAGGTCTGGTCCAGTTCTATGTTCCCAAGCTCACCAGGGCACACGAGAGCCTCGATCCTCCCGATGCTGAACAGAAGAAGGGGGGGGGGAAGAGGGAGGATGAGGATGAGGGAGGAAGAACAGGTGAGCCACCAACCTCCGTCCACCAGCCACAGGACCACTCCTCTCTGCCCTGTAAAGACAATCCCTGCCTCCCTGGGGCTACGATGACAGGCCTGTGCTTCCTGTCTCAGGCCTCAGGGAACTAGGAGGCAGGAGGGACACCCATGGGTGAGGACAACTATCACCTCATGCCAGCATCCACGAACTCCGCTCGTGGGCTTTGGGAACTATTTTCTCACAGAAATGAGCTCAGGTGTGTGGTGTAGTCCACTGCAAACGTGTGGCTTTGGGAAATGAAGGCTGACAGATGGCAGGAGCAAAAGAAGACGCTAAAATAAGCTTGGCGCTAGGGTGGGAGGCAGTTACAGCTTCCTTCTGATCCCCGTCAGGGTCCTTCCTTTGCCAGAGTCATAGGAGAGTCTGGGATGAGTCTGGGATATAAATGACTTTTGCAGACCAAGACCTGGTACCAAACAGGGCAGTGGTGTGAGGGAGGGGTACCAACATGATGTCACCCATCCTCAGGATCACCAGGACACAACGATGGAAATCCAGAGGAGCCAGGCCCTGGACGGAGCAGCGGTCTGCATCCAGAGAGTCCTTCGGGGACACAAATACAGGTGCCCGCCCCACAAATCATCCTGAAGTTTCGACTGGTCTGGCGCTAAGTGTTCTACAGCTATTTGGAGACCCCAGGCCTGCCAAGTACCCAATGTGCACCTCACCCACTTAACCTGGAGTGCAGGCAAATCATCCAGCACGTCATGTCCCTCAGGCAGACCTGGGAGACTGAGGCACGTGATCTCCTCAATGGGGACACGCAGCTGCGTTCATAATTCTAATGCATTATTGGAAAGACACTCCATAAGCAAAATCTCATCTTTATGTGTGTCAGTATATATCACACACACACACACACACACACACACACACACACACACACAGGTCCTCATGCTTACAAAAGCTGATGGAGTCATCTCCATCTCCATCTCCATCTCCATCAGCAAAGTCTTCTCCCCCTCCTTGGCGTCTGGGTCTCTGAAGACACCAGTCTTAGCTCCTTTGTCGTGGTTCCTTTGGTCCCTGGGGCCCTGCTCACTTTCTTCAGCCCATTTCCTCTCTCTCCTGCAGACGGAAAAATTCTTCTGTTCCGTCTTCGATCTCACTGACTCTCCTCTGCTCTCTCCATCCACTGAGGGTTTCTCTTACAGTAGTGTGTGTGTGTGTGTGTGTGTGTGTGTGTGTCTATGTATACACTCTTGAGTGTGCACACACACAAACACGCATGTATTGGGTCATGCTGACAATTTCAGCTGCCAGCCAGCCACCTTGCTTTTGTGAGACAAAGTCTCTCACCCGTGTGGAGCTTGTCAAGTAGACTGAATTAGCTGGCCAGTGACCTCAGGGATCCTCCTGTCCACACCCCAAAGTACTGGGATTATAAACACACACTGCTGTAAACTCGGGTCCTTGTAGTTGGAAGAGAAGCAGTTATGGGGTAATCTGGGTATTTGTCAAATTTATCTTTTGTTTATTGTCCTTTCTCATTCAAGTTGAATTTTTCAGGCCTGAGTATAATAGCGATTTATAGATTGAAATTGGCATTTTGTGGCATCATGTTAGGAGAAGTCTGGGCCTTGTTTAAATGCCTCACCTGAGTTGGCACCCTGTTGTCCCTGTCACTGATCTGACAGGGACATTAGGGATGCCACCTGTCTGCCATCAGGCCAGTTTCCCCATGTGACCTCCATGGATTATAGAGATGGAGAGAGGTTCCCTGTCTCCTCTGATGGGGCTGGGAGCTCTGGCTGCCCAGCAGACCCCCCTCTGATGCATTCTTACCCAACACTGACATCATCGGGGAAGGTATAGCAATTATTTTTCTGTTGCTTTGACGAAATATCCAACAAAAGGAGAAGCTTTACTCTGGCTCACAGGGTGGTAGTGCAGTCCATCATGGCAGCAGGAGCCTGAAGCCGCTGGTCACACAGGAGCCAGGCAGGGTGGGGTGCAGACGCTGCTCAGGTCACTTGCTCTCTTCGTGCAGTCTGGTGCCCCACTCTCTGGGATGGTGCTGCCTACAGTTAGAGTGAGGCTTTCAGACTCAATTAATGCAGCCTGCTCACAGACATACCCAGAGCTTTGTCTCTCGGGTGATTCTAGATCCTGTCAAATTGATGGTGAGTGTGACCCATCACAAAGGGAGTGGCCTTCTCACCCCTGGGGACTAGTGAAAGGCCTCTTCTTCACGTCCCCCACAATACTATTCCAGCGTAGAGAGGAGTGGTCTCTCACTACTTCAGCCAGGTAAGCATGGTTGTACAGAATCCCCTGGTGGTCTTCACTGACGCTGTGAGGACAAATGCATTATGGGGATGAATGTCTTGCCTTCCTTCCCAGGCTCCCGTCATGATCCTGGCTTGGATGCCCTTCACCCTAGCTAGTCAGGGTAAAGGCTAGAGGTCCTACATGACATTTTCTGGTATGGTGGGTGGAGCTGCAGTTGTTTCCATGGAAAAATGTGGTTACCACCCCAAAACTTTCTGTCTTGTTAGGTTGCTCTTTCCTGAGATTGTGGGTAAAGAGGGAAGGCTTTTCTTGAGACCTTTTAAATCTGTGCCTATTGGCATTTCTGGTTGTTGACTTGTTCAGCTCCTTAATTAGGGTAAACGAGGCATCTGGAGGCTGCCCTGTGGTGTCTCTTGGAGTCTTTTGTTCCTGCCCGTCTGGCTTCTTCCACATTCCAGAGTCTTCTTATATTTATTTATGCGATGCTCAAATGTTTTAGTTGTGCTCTGAAGACCATCGATACTTAACCAAGCTTTCACTGTTCTAGCCAACACAATTAGACAAGAAAATTAAAGGAGAGATAGAAATCATGGTTTTTCTTTTTATAGAGCTGCTATATACTTACTCTCACAATTAAATACATCCAACAAATATGTTAGGATGAAAAAACAAGAAAAGTACTGTAAGTTATTATGAGTGTATTTCAAAATTAATATGTAAACTTTTAAAAAGCTTATTTTTCCCCTGAAACATGGCCTCACCATGTAGCCCTGGCAGGCTGAGAATGCAATATATAATCAGCATGGCCTCAGACGCACAGCGATCCACCTGCTTCTGCCTTCCAGGTGCTGGGATTAAAGACAGGTACCACCCGGACCGTTTCTCTTTGTAAAATTTTCATGACTAACCTGTGGATGTTCCTCTAGAGAATTTCTTATTCTTGGTCATGTCATATAGAACACATAGTTTAGAATAACTAATTTCCTAAGATTTTGTTAGTTTAACTAGATAGCCCAATTGTTTTGTTGTTATTGAAAGGAAAACATATATAATAAAAATAATAAAATACTAAACAGGGACACTTCTTTAATACATGAAAATAAACATACACCTGAATCATCACTAGAAACACTTGAAACCTTTTATCAAGCTTTGGCATCAAACTAGAGATATGTTTTTTTTTCTAATTATGACCTTGAATGCACAGATTAACTGCATTACTCCAACTCCTGATGAAATAATTTGCAAATGAGAAAGAAGGCCATTGGTAATACCTCAGTGCTCCCTCCTGGACACGAGGAGCCCACTCTTAGCAGTAAAACATGGGTATGTGGTCTCTGATGAAGCTATGCCTGCATGCATAGCTTCCCATTCGGTCTTCCCACTGCCTTCTTTCTTCCAGCATGGCAGAATGTCTTCCTTACTAGCTGAAGTTTAAGTAAGCTCTTGTTGTGTAGAAAGACCCGTTTGGTGCCTAACATTGCCTAGTCTAAGATTAGCGTGCCATTTCACGTGTACTTTAAATTCTTGAGGCTGTGACCTCAGCTGGAGAGGTGAGTCTGGGGCTACACAGCAGTCGTGAATGCCATCCACACGCTACGGTGGCCGAGCTGGGGCTCATGGTTTACTTTAAATGCATGTGGCAATTACACTCTCCTGGCCTTGTATCTTTTGCTCAGTCTTATAAAGGACACAGGGGCTGCATATTTCCAGATCACCTTTTTTGTTTACTAATTTAGACATATGATAATTCACCTGTTTTTTTACTATTTACCTTATAATATAATATAGGTGTACTACAATATAATAAAAACTAACATCAGAATAGGATAAAACAAACAGAATGAAAAGAGCCTAAGAGAAGGCACGAGAAACAGAGCTCTACTTGTTCACACACTCAGGAATCCCTAAAAATACTAAACTGTAAACCGTAATACATTTGGAAAGGACCTACAGAGTAAAAAGAGAGAAGAAAAATATATAAATGAAATAAAATGAAAAACTAATGATATGAAATTAGTCATGTGGGTATTGCCTTCAGCAATGGGAAATTAATGTCAGTTTGTGGAGCAACCTGTAGTCTTGGCAACGGCCTGACTTGTCTGGGGGTTCCCATGGACCCCCTTTGGCTAACATCTTAGTTAGATATAACCCAATCCCAATACTGAACATTTCATTTGGTAACAAGATGTAGCCATTTGGGGCTCTGTCTCCCCATTGTTCGGTGATTTCAGGTAGGTCACCTTCATATATGTGTGTGCTTTAGGAAGTTTCTACCGTATTGTATACAACCCCTCAAGCGGCCTTTAAGTTTCATTGTCTCTGTATTCACTCCCTTGTCCCCACCTTCCCTCGTCTCTCCACTTGATCCTCCTGTCCCAGCCCCCCACCCGTCTATCCAGAGCTATCTGCTCTATTTCCTTTCCCTAAGGACGTTTATCGGCTTCCCCTCATCATCATTTGCTCTGTACTTAACCTCTGTAGCTATATGGACTGTAGCTTGGTTATTGCTGACTTAGCAGCTAATATCCACATATGATAATCCACACATAACACACACCGTGATTGTCTTTCTGGGTCTAGGTTTCCTCACTCAGGGTGATTTGTTTTTTAGTTCCATCTATTTACCTGCCAATTTTATGGTATCTTTTTTTAAACGACAGAGTAATATTCCATTGTGTACATGTACCACGTTTTCTTTCTCCATTCTCCTAGGGTGTTTCCGGTTTCTGGCTGTTATAAATCGAGTAGTGATGAACATGACTGAGAAAGTGTCTCTGTAATAGGAGTGAAGAATCCTTTGGGTACATGCCCAAGTGTGTGATAGCTGAACCTTGAATTAGATCTGCTTGTAGTTTCCTGAGGAACTGCCACACTTATTTCCACAGTGGCTGCACAAGTTTGCACTCCAGCCAGCAATGGACGATTGTCCCCCTAATTCCACACCCTCACTCACCTGCACGAGCTGTCACTCGCTTTACTGATCTTGGCCATTATGACGGTGTGAGATTAAAACCTCAAAGCAGTTTTGATTTGCATTTCCTTCCTGACCAAGAATGTTGAAAATTTCTTTAAGTGCTTCTCAGGTAGCTGGGGTTTCTCTTTAGAGAATTCTGTTTAGATCTGTACCCCACTGGGTTGTTTGTTTACTTGATGTCCAGCTTTGGTGGGGTCTTGGGTTTTGCTGTGTTTGTTTTTTGAGTTCTTTATGTACTTTGGATATGAGCCCTCTATTGTATGTGTAGTTGGTAAAAATCTTTTCCCATTCTGGAGGCTGCCACTTTGTCTAAATGATGGTGTCGTTTGCCATAGAGAAGCTTCTCAGTTTCACGGGTCCCATTTATTGATTGTTGACCTTAGTGCCTGTGCTATCGGCTCTCCTGTGCCAATGAGTTCAAGATCATTTCCCACTTTCTCTTCTGTCAGGTTCAGTGTTGTCCGTCCTTATGTCGAGGTCTTTTATCCATTTGGAGTTGAAGTTTTTGCAGGGTGATAAGTATAGACATATTTACATTCTTCTACACATAGCCTTCCAGTTTGACTGGCACCATTTGTTAAAGATGCTGCCCCCCCCCCCCAGTGTGTATTTCTGTCTTCTTTATAAAAAAAAAACCAGGTGTCCATGGGTGTGTGGATTTATGTCTGGGTCTTCAATTTAATTTCGTTGATCAACATGTCTGTTTTTATGGCAATATCATGTTGTTGTTTTACCATAGCTCTGTAGTACAACCTGAAATCAGGCATGATGATACATCCAACAGTTCTTTTATTATCCAGGATTGTTTTAGTTACCCTGGGCTTTTTGTGTTTCCATATGAAGCTGAGAACTGTCCTAAAGAATTGTATTGGAATTTTGATGGAGATTGCATTGGATTTGTAGATTACTTTTGGTAGGATGGACATTTTTACTGTACTTATCTTTACTGATCCTTGAGCCTGGGAGATCTTTCCATGTTCTGATACCTTCTTCAGTTTCTTTCTTCAGCGTCTTAATGTTTTTCATCATAAAAGTCTTTCACTTCTATCTAGGCACTATTGATATTGTAGACTAGTTAGATGGCTAGTTTTCTCATTTTTTAAATTGTGCTTACTTATTGCACGTGTGTTTGTGTGGACACAGCGTGTGTGTGTGTGTGTGTGTGTGTGTGTGTGTGTGTGTGTGTGTGTGTGTGTAAGTAAGAGGGCAAATTTCATGAGTCATTTCCCTCCTTCCACTCTGTGGGTCTTAGGAATTGAACTCATGTCATCAGGCCCCACAAGAAGCACCTTTACCTCCTGAACCATCTTGCTTGCCCAGTTAGCTCTGATGCCTGAGACTGATCACACGTTCTCACATGCTAAGCATGGACTCCACCACTAAACTACATTCCCAAGCCCTTAGATAGCTCTTTTTTTGCCACGGAGACAGAACTGTGCATGTCTTATACTCGACATCAGTAGCATCCTGGCCCACTCCCCTAACACACCAACCAGAGTCTCATAGACTTTGCTGACTGTGCCCTGGGCGGGGGCGGCTGCGTCAGGCCAATGCTGTGGACACCAGAAGGAAGCAGATTAGCTTAGCTTTGTGGTGCTTTGGCTGTTGCCTTGGCTGCCTATTGGATCACATGGAAAGTTAGTTCCAGGCTTTCAAGTATATCAAAACCTAAGCGGTATAGTCCTTTATATAAAATGGCATTGCCAGGCATGGCTGTACATGACTATAATACCAGCACTCAGAAGGCAGAGACAGGAGGATCATGAGTTCAAGGCCAGACTGAGCAAAGCCCTGTCTCAAAAAGCTTTTTGATTTTATTTTATATTGTTTAATGTATGTAAGCGTTTTGCCTGCGTGTATATGTGCGCCCCATGTGCATACCTAGATATGTGGAAGCCAGTGGAGGCATGGTCACGGATGGTTGTGAGTCACCGTGTGGGGGCTGGAAATTGAACCCAGGTCCTCTGAAAGTGCAACGAGTGCTCTTACCTGCCAGACCGTCTCACTAGCTCCTCCCTTTAAAACAGCGTGATATTGGCACATATGACCTGAACATATCCTCCTATATAAATTAGCCCGTGTCCAGGTAATGTAATGCAATACCCATGTCGTGCAAGTAGCTATTGAACTGTATTACATGAGGAATGGTCATAAAAGTGAAAGTCTGTGCAGGTTCAGTGCGGGTGCAGTCTTCCCAAACATTTTCAGTTTGTTGTGGCTGAGCCCACAGCTGTAGAGCCTGCGTGTACATTAGATGGCTGACTGACTCACTCTCTCTGTGTGTCTGTCTCTGTCTCTGTCTCTGTGTGTGTCTGTCTCTCTGTGTGTGTGTGGGTGTGTGTGTGTATACACTAGACAAAATGTGAGCATCCTGATATAATTGTTCTTTATGGAACCCAGGAATAATCAATACTGAAGTTCTTTGAATGGTTTTAATATGACTGAGGCATACTATTCTAAACCTAAGAGATTCATCTGCAGAAGTACTGAAAGTGGTAAGAACACTCATTGACTATAATGTAAAAGGTCTGCGTGGGCCAAGCTCCCTTGAGAGGTCTCTGATCTCTGCTTCCAGGTTCTGTCTGTGTCCAGCCCCAGGCTGAGAGGCTGGCAGAAACTGGAGCTGCCTCTCAGCAGACTCTGGACAGTGTCACACTACAGTTACAGCTAATCAGGACACGGTGTACATGTCAGATGGGCGTGTCATCCCGACTGTAATCTCAGCTTTAGAAGGTGGAGATGGGATCTTCAGAGCGTGTTGGTTGTGAAATTAGTCACATCAGCAAGGTCTGGGTTTGGTTGAGAGACTCAAAGAACGGAAAGTTGGAAGACTGACTCAGGGTCATTTTTATGTCCTCCTCAGGCCCCCACATGTATGTCCACACAAGCACATGTGCCTACACACATGAAAAACACAGGTGCACATACCCATGAAAACAAACAAACAAACAAAATGAAGAGGTGACAATAGATTGTGTCCCTTCATGTAGCTCACCATTCACAAGTGTGGGAGTTTTGTTTTGCTTTGGCTTTTGCCTGGGGTTTTGTTTGTGATGCTTAGGGCCGAGCCTTACACCAGACAGATGCTCTACCGCTGAGCTATGTCCTCAGCCCAGAGTTGTGGGTTGTTAATAGCAAATCTGACTCTAACCTGCATGTCCATCATACGGTCTTACAAAGGCTTCTGGGAGTGTGCTATACAGATTCCTTCCTCCCTGATATTTTATTATCCACTTTTGTTTCCAAGCCAACCCCTTGGCTCCTAAACACTTAGCAGAATGTAGGAGAAGAGTCATTTAATGCCTCTAATTTGCATTTTTCCCTCCAGGAAGGAGTTCCTGAGGCAGAGACAGGCAGCTGTGACTGTCCAGGCTGCATGGCGAGGCCACTACCAAAGAAAGAATTTTGAACTGGTGAGAGAGAGCTTGGGACGTCGGGCCTTCAGGGGCGGCAAAAGACTGACCCGTGAAAGGGCGTCATTCACGATTGTTTCCCTGAGTTGGAGCTCCCAGGCAGGAAGCGTCCCATTGCGAACTGACATAGAATACAGATCCTCAGACCACTGGATGCCAGCCCTCCACCTAGTCTTTTCTTCATGTGATCTTCAAGCCTGTGTTGGGGGGCTCAGAATGTCCCCCTCCAGAATTTTGGGCACCCCCAGAGCTGTACTGGAATCGGCAGACTAGGCAGCAGGAGAGGCCTCACGTTGCAAGCGTTTCTCTCTCTTTTTGCTCCCCACCTCAGGCCTCAGTCAGTGACCCTGCTCTCTGTGTGTGAGAGTGGCCATCACTGCATTTTCGTGGGCCTCACTTGACCGCGAGTTCTTGCCGCGACTATGACGGCACCTGCTGCATAGGAGGGTCCCATCAGAGACTGGCCCTAACTTTCGGGGCTCCGTGCTAGTGCATGGGGTGGTAACTGACGGGAATGGGGGAGCCCTTTGGGGCTTGTACTTTATTTAGTGTCAGTCAGCAAGTAAAGGAACTGAAGCACAGAGGCTTAACTAGACGTGCTCGGAAGTGGCTACATCTGGCATCCATGAGCCCATGTGACTTTCAAACCCTTAGGCTCCTCCTGGAGACCCAAGGGACCTCCATGGCCTGGCGTAGATTGGGTGTTCATCCATTTTTTTAACTCTTCCATTTTAAAGACACTCACCCCGTCTGAGTGGGCTCCACACGGGGGCTCATTGTCCAGCCACGCGGTGAACTCGGCTGGCTGCTGTAAAGCCCATGGTGGTCTACTGCTCATGCTGCGTTAGGTGTTTCCTGATAAGAGCAACTTAAGGAAGGAAGAAGGAAGGAAGGAAGGAAGGAAGGAAGGAAGGAGGAAGGAAGAAGGAAGGAAGGAAGAAAGGAAGGAAGGAGGAAGGAAGGAAGAAAGGAAAGAAGGAGGAAGGAAGGAAGGAGGAAGGAAGGAAGGAGGAAGGAAGGAAAGAAGGAGGAAGGAAGAAGGAAGGAAGGAAGAAAGGAAGGAAGGAGGAAGGAAGGAAGAAAGGAAAGAAGGAGGAAGGAAGGAAGGAGGAAGGAAGGAAGGAAGAAAGGAAGGAAGGAGGAAGGAAGGAAGGAAGGAGGAAAGAAGGAAGGAGGAAGGAAGGAAGGAAGGAAGGAGGAAAGAAGGAAGAAGGAAGGAAGGAAGGAGGAAGGAAGGAAGGAGGAAGGAAGGAAGGAAGGAAGGAAGGAGGAAGGAAGGAAGGAAGGAAGGAGGAAGGAAGGAAGGAAGGAAGGAGGAAGGAAGGAAGGAAGGAGGAAGGAAGGAAGGAGGAAGGAAGGAAGGAGGAGGGAAGGAAGGAGGAAGGAAGGAAGGAGGAAGGAAGGAAGGAAGGAAGGAGGAAGGAAGGAGGAAGGAAGGAAGGAAGGAGGAAGGAAGGAAGGAGGAAGGAAGGAGGAAGGAAGAAAGGAAGGAAGGAGGAAGGAAGGAAGGAGGAAGGAAGGAAGGAGGAAGGAAGAAAGGAAGGAAGGAAGGAGGAAGGAAGGAAGGAAGGAAGAAAGGAAGGAAGGAGGAAGGAAGGAAGGGCTTATTTGGGCTCACAACTTGTTATGGTAAGGAAATCGTGGCAGCAGAGATACGAGCCTGCTAGTTACATTGCTTCCACAGTGAGGAAGCAGAGAACAGTGATTCCTTATTCTCAGCTGGACTTCTTTTTATACAGTGCAGAAACCCAACCCGTGAGATGATGCTGTCCACGTTTAGGGTAGATCTGCGTGCCTCAATTAGCCTTACCTTGGAGACTCTTCACAGACAAGTGCAGAGATCTGTCTCCCAGGGGATTCTAGATCCTGCCAAGTTCACGGTCAACACATGCTTTTTACCAGGGGCTTACTTAGCGCTTATTTGACTGATATACTCCGCTCCATCTTACAAGTGATTAATAGGTCCACGCATATTAGCACGTATGGATACTTGTAAGACCAGCACTGTGCCGAAAGCCAGATGACTAAATTATATTGAGGATCCCCTCTCTCTCAGGAAAGTGAGGGGTCTCTCAGGGAGAGCCATTCTCTGCTCTCCCAGGAAGGCATCTTGCAGTAAATGTCTAACCGCCCTCTGCTCCCACAGATCCTAGTGGGCTTCAAGCGCCTGCAGGCCATTGCCCGGAGCCACCAGCTAGTGAGACAGTTCCAGACCATGCGGCAGAAGATCGTGCAGCTGCAGGCCCGTTGCAGGGGCTACCTGGTACGACAGCAAGTCCAGGCCAAGAGGAGGGCGGTGGTGACCATTCAGGCACACGCCAGAGGCATGGCCGCCCGACGGAAACTCTGTAAACAGAAATCCACTGTAAGTGGCCACTTGGTGTGGAAGGGAGGTAGGGCTGGCTGGGCCGCTAGGGAAATTGATGGGCTGCGATTAAGAGCACTCACGAGACGTGCTTTAGACTACCCAGCGTTCTCAGGCAAAGATGATCATCCCCTTAAAGCTGCAGGGAATGGGGGCTGAGAGGCGCTGACCCACGAAGAGGAGCCAACTGTCCAGGAGGCAGGAAAACACCAGCATTTATGTAGCATGTAGGAGACAGAGAGGATGGGGACCGGTAGGCCGCCATCAGGACACCCCTGTGTTCGGGGCTAGGGAGAGAGCTCTGTCGGTACAGACCGTGTCTCACTAACCTGATGACATGAATTGGACCCCCAGAACCCACATGAAAAGCCAGACGCGGCAGCATGTAGCTATAATCCCAGCACTTTGGGGATATGGAGACAGGCAGACCCCTGGGGGTCACTGGCCGGCCAGCCTAGCCTACTGGGTGAGCTGTCAATGAGAAAACCCGTCTCAAAAACAAAACGAAAAGCTTACGGCGTAGACAGCTCCTGAGGAACAGCACAATGGTTGTCCTCTGGCCTCCACACACCTACACACATACGCACAAACACGAACACTACGCACACACACAAACACACGCACTCAGATGCATTTTAACATCTCCCTTTTGCAAGGTCTCATCACTTCCGGGATGTATCTGAGAACCAGTCTCATCCGCCCCAGTCTTTATTCCCTGGCTCATTTGGCAAATAGGATTAGGCAAAGGGATGGATAGCACTGGCTTTGTCTCACAGACACACATGGGTTCTACTGCACAAGCTACTAAGATGACAGGCAGACCATGTGACAGGACGGAGCCTCAGGTCATCGGTGGCTGCAAAGCACTCGATCCTGCTCGTTAGTCCAGGACCCGAGGTCTCCCCCTGTGGGCCCTAGATAGAACGAAGGGACTGAGGGGGCCCGCGTGGTGGCTTAGCAGCTGGTGTCTGGGTCCCTGAGGTTTGCAGAACGCCTCAGTGGTCAAGCCAGTGGCCACAGCTCTCCTCCCCCGTTAATACTGAGAAAGGAGGAGCCCCGATGAATGGTCCCCACTCAATCTACACGTTGAGTCTCACCATTGGGTGGAGTACATGGCTCAGGGGTAAAGTGTCTGATGTAAGGACCTGAGTTTGAATCCCCAACATGCATGAAAAAAAATCCAGCCTCGGCGACGGACATTCACCTGCAACCACAGCGCTTCCGAGGCAGAGACAGGGCCCTCCCTGGGCTGGGGCAGCCAGCCAGTCTCACCAGACTAAATGGAGAACAATTGAAAGACACTCGACGCCAACCTTTGGTCCCCACGCTCATGCACACACGTATGCACGTACACAAAACTATCACTTTAGTGACTTAGGCCAGTGATGGCAAGATGAGGGCCACCAGGCTTCTAGAGTGCTTTGCCCCGTGGGGTGGGCAGAGTTGTAGCCCTGATTGCAAGTGACCTTCTCTCTATGGGGTATGTACAGGGACCTCCGGTTATTATGCCTGACAAGCCAAAGGATCGAGGCGCTGCCCCTGACAGGAAGCGCAAGTCCATCTACGACACTGTCACTGACACAGAGATGGTGGAGAAAGTGTTCGGGTTCCTCCCAGCCATGATTGGAGGCCAAGAGGGCCCAGCCCCGACACGCTTTGAGGTACGATAGCCCCACGCGGGGATGGGAGGACCCTTCTGGGCCTAACTGGGACTCGTGGTGAGCATTCCACTGACTGGAAGCTTGGCCCACACACTCCCTGTTTGGCCCTCCCAGGACCTGGAAGTAAAGACCCAGAAACTGCCTGAGATTGACCTGGACACGGTGCCCATGACCGAGATGCCAGAGGATGTGGACGGTCTGGCTGAGTACACCTTCCCCAAGTTCGCCGCGACTTACTTCCAGAAATCAGCCAGCCACACTCACGTCCAGAAGCTCCTCCGGTACCCGCTGCTCCACCACGAAAACAACACGGACCACTCGGTACCAGCCGTTCACTGGCTTCTGTGTGGCCCAGCCCCCCTCCCTGACGCCAGGCCCAAAGTTTGAGCTGTGGTTCAGAGGCAATAAGCAAAGAGCCCGGGTCACCGTGGGTTCCAGCTCTGGAATCAGCCAGGCTCTCCTCTGTTCATTCTCCAGGCAGCTCTAGCTGTATGGCCCATCATCCTGAGGTTCATGGGTGACCTCCCAGAGCCAGTGCTCTATGCCGGGAGCAGCTCACTGACGCCGCAGAACCATGACAGGCTGGGAAAGGGCAGCGACACTCGGGACCCACAGCACAACGGATATGCCCAGGTAGGCGGTGAAGGCGGCGGGCAGGTGTCCACCGGGCAAGGCCCTAGGAAGCTGGGCAGAAGCATCAGCCACTGAGCCCAGTGTCTGAGACTCCCGCAGCGTCTGGGGAGTCATGGGTGGAGACCAGGACTGTGGGGACTTTGCAATCTTGAATGGAGAGAGTCTCCTGAACTCCAAATATTGGCCTTGACTCCAACCAAATTCAAATTGACATTTAAAAACGGTAACATGCTTTTGAGGCTAGGGATCTGGCTCAGTTGGTAGGGTGTTTGCCCTGAGCTTGATCCCTAGATGCGGTGGGGCGCGCTTGTTATCCCAGCACCCAAGTCCCAGAGGCAGGAGGAGCGGGGTGTCAAGGTCGTCCCTGGCTGTATAGCAAGCTGGAGGCAACAGACAGATGAGGAGAAGGAAAATAAATAGGGCTGGGGAGATGACTCAGTGGGTTAGAGCATTTGCCAGGAAAACCAATGCCAACTCCCCTGAAACCAAGCCGGGCACCGTAGCTTGAGCATCTAAGCCTAGCACGTCTCTGAGGAAACGGGAGACAGAAGGCCCCCGAAGCCTGAAGCCAGCCTAGTGTGTACAGTGGTGATGAGGCCCTGTCTCAAGAAGACAGGCGGAGAGGACGGATGCTTGAGACTGTCGCATGACGTCCACACACGCACTGGCTGTGCACATGCCTGCACACACGCGTGTGCGCCTGTGCACACACACACACACACACAAGCGCGTACGCAAAACAAACAGACAAAACCGGTGCCACTGTTGAACGACAGCCCACTAGATGCCAGTTACTTTCCTTTATTTACTCGGGAGGTGTGCTACCCCTACAAAGCATCCATTATTATGTTTACCAATCACAGTGAACTTGTATGCGGGAGCTGGCTTTAAACCCACTCTGCTCCTGTCTTATTCCCTCCCTGCCTGGGACTGAACCCCAACCCTGGTGCGTGCGAGGCCTGCTGAGCTGCACCCCCAGCCCAAAGAGCTAGTTCTTGACCTATGACCTACCACGCCCTCTGGTGGAACCTGGGGGGTGGGGAGATGGCTAGTGTGGTGATGTGCTGTGTCACGAGTGTGACAACCTGAGTTCAAGACCCCTAGGACTCTCATGGGAAGCTGGTTATGACTGGGACTAGAGAGACAGCTGAGCTGCTGACCCCTAGGACTCTCATGGGAGCTGGTCACCACTGGGACTAGAGAGAGAGCTGAGCTGTTGACCCCTAGGACTCTCATGGGAGCTGGTCACCACTGGGACTAGAGAGAGAGCTGAGCTGTTGACCCCTAGGACTCTCATGGGAGCTGGTCACCACTGGGACTAGAGAGACAGCTGAGCTGCTGACCCCTAGGACTCTCATGGGAGCTGGTCACCACTGGGACTAGAGACAGAGCTGAGCTGCTGAGGGCACACGAGTTCTATTCCCGGCACCCATATCAGGCAGCCCCCAAACACCTGTCACTCCAGCTCCAGGGGTCCCAACGCCTCTGTCCTCTATGGGCATCCTCATTCATCTGTGCGTACTCTCCCACAGACACACACAACTAAAAATAATTAAAACAAAAGCTTTTGTGTAAGCTGTGTATGGCAACACGTGCCTGTAACCCCAGCCCTGGCAGGGCTACTGGCCGGCTAGCCCAGCCAAGTCGGGGGGGGCTCTAGGTTAGGTGAAACATCCCCCCCCCATCTCAGAAAGGAAAGCGGAAGCGCCTGGAGGGGCGGCCCAGCAGTTAACGGCTCCTGTGGCTCTCCCAGAGTTGGTTCCCAGCACCCTCTGCTTACGGCCGCTGCTAATTCCAGCTCCGCGGGATTCAGCGCCTTCTTCTGGCCTCTTTGGGCACATGCTCATAAAAAAAAATTAGAGATAACAGGAGAAGTGATTGAAAAAAAAAGATCCCTGATATTGACCTCTGGCCTCCATGTACACTCACATACATGTACACGTATACTTGTGCCCTCACACACACCCCACACACATGAACATACACAAACGCCTATACACATGTTTACATACACACAGCTTAAAAATAATTCACAAGACCTATTGGTCAAGGCCTCCCTGAGGCCCAGTTTCACGCAATGAACTAACCTAAATCGGAAGGAATTACTTAAGCAGCGGTGACAGCAGGCAGGGCCTCTGCAGCAGCCCAGGGGTGCTTTGTACACCAGGTCACGGACTCAGCGTGGGTGCCTATGAGGTCCCGTCTTCCGATTAGCCACGGAGGAGTCTAAAAGCCTCTGCAGCCCTGGTAGCGTGGAAAACCCAGAGCCACTGAGGGCTCCCGCTCTCCGGAGGCCCGAGCCCCACCAGAGCGTGTTAGGTAGTGACTGCTGTGTAACAGGTCACCTCAAAGCACAGCAGCTTAAGGCAGGGCAGACTGGTCTTTTCTGAGAGTCGGGGGTGGGGGTTGACAATTGGTTCTGATTCAGAGTCTCTCTGGAAGATGCTGTCAAACTGTCAGCTTTCACTGGAGTAATCTGCAGGCTTGACCGGGGTCTACTCCCCAGATCACGGATGGTGCGTCAGTTCCGGCTATGTGGTATCTGAGAATCCCCACAACATGGGTTTTTCTTCATACCGAGTGATCCATGAAGGAGGATTACTATCTAGTCTGGGAAGTCACACACTTTGTGAGGCAGGGGCATAGCCAGAACAGAAACATCAGGAGATCACATCGGAGACAGATGTCCTTCCCAGGCAGGATTCCAGAAGAGTCTAGCTGGCAACTGTGTCCTCTAGAGGGTGGACATAGAGACACCGGGCTGGCTTTCCATGGCCGGATCTCAGTTTTCTTTCATGCACAGGCTTGTTACATAGGCCAAGCAAGCCCTGCCCGTACTCCAAGCCAATGTTTCCAACTTAGTTCTTGCATCCAAACCCAGCTTTACCCAGACAGAGCCGGGATCTGGCGCTGAGTTGACCTCAACCCAGGCTGATTCTCACACCAAGCTCAGATTTGGGCAGCAAATTCTCACAGTGATGCCATCACGACAAGGTGCATTCTCTGTCCCCACCTGTGCTACTGGACTTGTAATTGAGCCAGAAAGTGGCCGAGCATCAAAGACAAATGCTCCAGCCCTGGTGGCTACAGGGCCAACCACATGAGCACTAGCATTCCCCTGGTCCCCTGTCCGCTTCCACAGAGAGTAAGCAGCAGGGGCAAGGGTCCAGCGATATCACAGGACTGACCTGGTCCTCATGGATCACTGGCCAGATGCGCCCAGCTAGGTTTGTTTGTGTCTTGGCTCAGCACCGGATTGGTGCAGGGTTACAGGCCATTCCCTCCATCCGGTGCGCAAGGGTGGCCACAGCTGTGCTAACAGCTGTCTGTGGGCTTCCAGGTGGCCAGGAAGCTGAACGCTGGTGAAGAGGTGTTCAAGCCCGATGTCCCTGTCTCAGAAAGGCCCATGTCTAACCTGGAGAAGGTGCACTTCATCGTGGGCTATGCCATCATGCGTCCCGGACTCAGGTCAGTCTCTCTTCTGGCTTCCGCTCAGCGCTTCAGGCCACTGCGCTGGCACTTAGCCCATGGAGGCATCATCCTCAGCGTCTGCCTTGAGGTACCTGCTCTTCTCCTGCTCTCTGGCCTGGGCCGCTAGGCTAGGTCTCAGCACAGCAGGCATTAGAGCCACCACCCAGAGCTCTCTGGTAAGAAAGCCATGAGAGAGCTGGGCGTTGGTGGCGCACGCCTTTAATCCCAGCACTGGGGAGGCAGAGGCAGGCGGATCTCTGTGAGTTCGAGGCCAGCCTGGTCTACAGAGCGAGTGCCAGGACAGTCTCCAAAATAATACAAAGAAACCCTGTCTCAGGAAAAAACAAAAAACAAAACAAGAAAGCCCTGAGAAGCTTCGGAGATGGTTCAGTTTGGTAAAGTGCTTGGCACACCTGCATGCCAACCTGAGTTTGATCCCTCGGAGCCCATGGAGAGAGAGAGAGAGAGACAGAGAGAGAGACAGAGAGAGAGACAGAGAGACAGAGAGAGAGAGAGACAGAGAGAGAGACAGAGAGAGAGAGAGAGACAGAGAGAGAGACAGAGAGAGAGAGAGAGAGAGAGAGAGAGAGAGAGAGAGAGAGAGAGAGAGAGAGAGAGAGAGAGAGAGAGAGAGAGAGCCAGGGGAAGCAGTGTGAGCATGTAATCCCTGTGCTGGAAGATGAAGACAGGAGGATCTCTGGGACTTGCTGGTCAAACAGTCCTGGCAAACCAGTGAATCCGGAGAGACCCTGTCTCAAAACATAAATAAGCCATGTGGAGAGCCACCAAGGAAAACTTCCTCAAGCTCACACGCACAGATGCACAACTCCCTGTGCGTGAGAACTGTGTGTAAGCCGGGCCACTGCCTTAATCCCAGCACTCGGGAGGCAGAGGCAAGTGGATCTCTGTGAGTTCAAGGCCAGCTTGGTCTATAGACCTAGTTCCAGGACAGCTAGGGCTACACAGAGACACCCTGTGTGCAATTTGCTTAGTAAGAATTAGGGATCTGGGCTACCTCACTCTGGATGGTTTTTTTTTCTTCTTCCATCCATTTACATTCTAATTCCATGGTAATTATTCTTTTATAATAATTTTTTATTATTTAACTTTTTATACATGTTACTCTCAGTTCCCTCTCTCTCCCCTCCTCACCCAGGCCCCTATTCCTCCCAAACCCCCATCCCACTCCATCTCCCCCCCATCCACTCCCCAGGGGGTAAGGCCTACCATGAGGGATTTTCAGTCTGTCATGTAATCCCAGGGGGGGGGACCTAGGTCCTCCCCCATGTGTCCAGGCTGAGAGAGAATCCCTCCATGTGGAATGGGCTCCCAGAGTCTACTTGTATGCCAGGAATAAATACTTATCTACTCTCTAAGATCCCACAGATTGCCAAGGCCTCCTCTCTGAGACCCAGGTCTTGGGGGGATGTCTGGATCAATCCCATGCTGGCCCCTCAGACATCAGTCTGGGGTCCATGTGCTCCCCTTGTTCAGGTCAGCTGCCTCTGTGGGTTTCGCCAGCCTGGTCTTGATTCCTTTGCTCATCATTCCTCTTTGCAACTGGGTTCCAGGAGTTCAGTTTGGTTTTTAGCTGCGGGTGTCTGCCTCTGCTTCCGTCAGCCACTGTATGAGGGAACAGATGAGTGATACTCAATTTAATTGTACCACATTTTCTTTATCTATTTTTCTGTTGACAGAGATCTAGGTTGTTTCTGGTTTCTGGCTTTTATGAAAAAGAACAGCAATGAGCATGACTGCAAGTGTCTCTGTAGTAGGAGGAAGTATCCTTTGGGTAGATGCCCGAGAGAAATACAGTTGAATCTTGACTTAGATCTGTTCCAAGCTTTCTGAGGAACTCGCCCTGATGTCCATAGTGGCTGTACGAGTTTGCACTCCCACCAGCAATGGACGAGTGTTCCCCTTACCCACATCCTGTCCAGCATGAGCTGTCATTTGTGTTATAGATCTTGGCCATTCTGATTGGTGTGAGATGGATTCTCAAAGTCGTTTTGATCTGCATTTCTGATTAAGTACGGATGTTGAATGTTTCTTGAAGTCATTCTCGGTCATTTGTGTTTCCTCTTTTGAGAGTTCTCTGTTTATATCTCTACCCCATTTTTAATTGGGTTGCTTGTTTCCTTGATGTCCAGTTGCTTAGTTCTTTATACATTTTAGATACTAACCTGCTATCAGAAGTATAAATGGTAGAAAGTCAAGAATAGAAATGAAAGAAAGTACACAAGCTCATGAGAGTTAAATAACTCATTACTGATGAAAATTGAGTCAAGACAAAAATTGAAGAAGGGAATTAAAATTTTTCTAAAATTAAACTAAAATGAATATGTATAGCATACCTATACTTATTGGACATAATGAAGATGTGATCTCATAATACTAAGTGCCTATATTTAAAAAATGGAGAGATTTCATCCTAGGTACTTATTTTAAAAGATTTGTTTATTATGTGTACCGTGTTCCGCCCAGAAAAGGGCACCAGATCTCACTATAGATGGTTGTGAGCCACCATGTGGTTGATGGGAATTGAACTCAGGATCTCTGGAAGAGCAGACAGTTCTCTTAACCTCTGAGCCACCTCTCCAGCCCTATCCTAGATATGTCTTAATCTAATAAGTGAAAGTAGACAGCGTATCTCCTCATTTCTCACTGCTGGAGGAGGTGGCCATCTCCAAGGCATGGGACAGTGACTTAAGGCAGAGGAGAAGAAAAGAATTTGAAGTAACTGTGAGGTTGGGGGAAGGAGAGGGGTTGCCTCATCCATGAACCAGGGAGAGAGGACCAAGGACAGCAGTGAGAGCGAGGAGGCCGTGGCCGTGGGGGATGGGGAGACTCAAGAGAGAAGCTGCTGTGTAGGTCTTGGCAAAGGGGACTGGCGGGAGCAAAGACCCAAGGGAGGGAGGGCTGGAGGCAAGGCCTTGGTGAGCCGGGAGCGGGAGTGGAAAGGAGTGTCTAGAAGAATCGGGTGAGGGCACCATCCTGGGCTGTGTTGACGGGTGAGGGGACTGTCCTGGGCTGTGTTGAGACCGGGTCAGGTGAGGCCCTCTGGTACCGTGAGCCTGAGAACCCTGTTGTGTTCCTGTCTCAGAGCCCCTGGCCCGTGTCTTTCAGAGATGAGATCTACTGCCAGATCTGTAAGCAGCTCTCCGAGAACCACAAGACAAGCAGCAGGGCCCGGGGCTGGATTCTGCTCAGCCTCTGTCTGGGCTGCTTCCCACCCTCCGAGAGGTTCATGAAGGTAATGAGAGCTGGGGGCTGACACTGGACTGGGGGGGCAGGCAGTTTACAGCAGGGACAGGCACCGAGTCCTGAATCCTGGACCGAGTCCCGAGTGACAGCTAATGAGCAGCAACGCTACACTGTTCCGGGCCTCTGTTTTCACACCTGAGAGGGTGCCTTACTTGGCTCCTTCAAGCTCCTATCCAGCAATGCAGGGTCCCAGCCTCCGGTCCCAGGCACAGACACACTCTTCAAGACTAAATTGGAGACGGACTGGGGATGTAACTCAATTGGTAGCATGTTTGCCTAGCATGCACAAAGCCCTGAATCCAATCCCCAGTACCACGTAAAAAAATGGAAATGGTGATGTACGCCTGTGCCAGCCCTTTGGAAGCAGGAGTGGGAGGAGCAGCCCTAACTGTCCCACGAGGTGTTGAACCCACTGATGAACAGTTAGGGTCTGTCTTAGTGTGACTAGAGGCCAGGGCTTCACCTTTGCTGGGCAAGCACTGTCAACTGAGCTACACCTGCAGCCGTGAGGAGCTTTAAGTTGCCCATTGAAAGCAGACGGAGCCTCCATTCTGAGTGTCTTCCTCTTCCCACCATCTTCCACCACCAGTATCTGCTGAATTTCCTTGGCCAAGGACCAGCCAGCTACGGGCCGTTCTGTGCTGAGCGCCTGCAGCGCACTTTCAGCAATGGGGTGCGTGCAGAACCTCCCACCTGGCTGGAGCTGCAGGTAGGTGCTGGCAGGGATGGGAGATGGGCAGTACAGGGTAGGGCACCCTGCCCGTGCCTCCGTCCTTGGCCCCTTCCGCCTTCTCTGTGGCGTCTTCTTTTAAAAGCTCGTTTGTGCGTGTGCGCGTGCGTGCGTGCGTGTGTGCATGCATGTGTGTGTGAGAGAGAGAGAGGAAGAGAGAGAGAGAGAGAGAGCATGTGTGCACAAGTGTGTATGCAGACAGAGGTCAGAGAACACTTGCTGGAGTTGGTTCTCTCCTACCGTGTGGGCAGCAGGGCCTTTACCTGCTGAGCCATCTCGTGGTCCCCTCTGCTGCACGTCTGGCCATCCTGGCACTTAGCATGGCGTAAGCTTCAAGGCCACCCTCCCTACCCCTCAGCCCACATTCCTGCTTTGCTCCTGTCTCCTGCCTTCCTGGACACACAGGTATAGCCGCCATGCTCCGTACAGAGAGCACAGACAGATTGCTTCCAGCTTCCAGAAGGCGGCGGTGCTTCAAGTCTGCTGCCCTTGTAGCTCTGCTATTTGTTGGAAGCTGGCTGTCTCTGTCTCTGTCTCTGTCTCTGTCTCTGTCTGTCTCTGTCTCTGTCTCTGTCTCTGTCTCTGTCTCTGTCTGTCTCTGTCTCTGTCTCTGTCTGTCTCTGTCTCTGTCTGTCTCTGTCTCTGTCTCTCTCTGTCTCTCTCTCTGTCTCTGTCTCTGTCTCTCTCTCTGTCTCTCTCTGTCTCTGTCTCTGTCTCTCTCTCTGTCTCTGTCTCTCTCTGTCTCTGTCTCTCTCTGTCTCTGTCTCTGTCTGTCTCTGTGTCTCTGTCTCTCTCTTTCTCTCTCTCTGCTTTGTCTCAGACACCTTCAAGTTCTCAAGTCCTCAGAAAGGGTCACTGCAGACAACCAGGACAGAGGGAGCGCTCTGGCTCACGCCAGTGCCCTGTGCTGCCACACAGTAGGCCTCCTCCGGCTACATTTCTTTCCCCCGGCTCTGAGCTGTTGGGGAAGGCAAACCTGCTCACCTCCACACAGTGGCGTGCCTAGGACCCAATGTCTCAAGCTGTCGTCTGAGTCAATCTCAGAACCTTGGGTTTTCATCTGAGTGCGGTCAGTTATGGCCTGCAGGCTGCGCCCCCGGGATACACAGCCTGCCTCTCAAAAGTCCAGGACTCACCTGCCATGTGTGGGCAACGCAGACCATCGGACACCATGCCAAGTCTCAGTCAGACCCTGGGTATTCTGAGGGACTCGCCCTCAGGACTCCACAGGGACAAGCAAACTCAGGGATGGGAGCCTCTAGAGTCTAGCGGTTCTGGATCCAGGACTACAGGACACCGTCTCTCTGTCCCCAGGCTGTCAAGTCCAAGAAGCACATCCCGATCCAGGTTGTCCTGGCAACTGGAGGGAGCCTGACTGTCTCCGTGGATTCTGCCTCCACGTCAGGAGAAATCTGCCAGCACATTGCTCAGAAACAGGGCCTCAGGGACCGTCTGGGCTTCTCCCTCCAGATCGCTGCATATGACAAGGTATCAACTGGGAGTCTTGGCCTACACATGCCTCCCATACACACCCGAGCCAGAGCACCCTGAAGTCCATATCAACCTGGCCTGCCCTCAGCCACCGTGCACACCCAGGGGCACGCACATGCATACACACGTGTACACGGACATTCATATGTACACACGCACGTGCATACACACATCATAAATGCCTTGCACGAGATGTCCAGTCCTCCTGCCTGCCTATCCACAGCTGCACCTTCACCCAGACAGGGCAACCCGAGCTCCTTTGAGAGGATTTGGGGGAGTGATGGACAGACCGTGGTCCTCACAAAGACGCCTTTTGAGGGATGGGGGGACAGTTCAGCTGGAATCATGGACAGTAAACATGAGGGCCTGAGTTCAATCCCCCAGGACCATATAAATAATCTGAGCATGGTGGCATTTGCTGCAGTCCTTCAAGAATGGTGACCAGAGGGTCTGGGAGCTCATTGGCCAGCCAGTCAACTGAATTGGTCAGCTCTAGGTTCCACAAGAGAAGCTATCTCAAAAGCTAAGATGGAGAGCAACTAAGGAAGTCTGGCCGCTCACCACGCCCTCCATAAGCATGCAGATACACACATAAACACATGTTCATACACAGGTAAACATGTGTGCATAAGCACGCAAACACATGTGCATACACACACACAAACACATGTGCATATACAGGTAAACACATGTGCATACTCACGCAAACACATGTGCATACACAGGTAAACACATGTGCATACTCACGCAAACACATGTGCATACACAGGTAAACACATGTGCATACACACACAAACACATGTGCATACACACGCAAACACATGTGCATACTCACACAAACACATATGCATATACACGCAAACACATGTGCATACTCACGCAAACATGTGTGCATACTCACGCAAACACGTGTGCATACACACGCAAACACATGTGCATACACACACAAACACATGTGCATGCAAAAAGAGACAGAAGGAAGCTTTGGTGTCCAGGCAGGCTTAGGAGTGGCTTCTTGGCCCACACAGGGCTTCACAGTCCCTGTCTTCCACGTAGGGAGTGAAGGGTCGATGTCTGCATGGGTCATGGCGCATACCAACTGTTAACCCCATTTGCCCCCAATTCTGGCCTCAGTTCTGGTCCTTGGGCAGTGACTGTGACCACGTGATGGATGCCGTGGCCCAGTGTGAACAGCTGGCCCAGGAGAGGGGAGAGAGCCAGCGCCAGGCCCCCTGGCGCATCTACTTCCGGAAGGAGTTCTTCACCCCCTGGCATGACTCCCGGGAGGACCCTGTGAGCACTGAGCTCATCTACAGCCAAGTCCTCCGTGGAGTATGGTCTGGAGAGTATAGCTTTGAGAAGGTGAGGAGCCCTGAGACGTAGCCCCATTCCTAGCCTGTGACCACCATTCCTAGCCTGTGACCACCATTCCTAGCCTGTGACCACCATTCCTAGCCTGTGACCATCATTCCTAGCCTGTGACCACCATTCCTAGCCTGTGACCACCATTCCTAGCCTGTGACCATCATTCCTAGCCTGTGACCATCATTCCTAGCCTGTGACCACCATTCCTAGCCTGTGACCATCATTCCTAGCCTGTGACCATCATTCCTAGCCTGTGATGCTCCACAGTAGGGGGATCCAGAGGCGCTGGTCTGATAAAGACTGGCAGATAGGAGGCAGAGGGATGAGGGGTGGGGGGTTGTTATAGGAGGGATGAGGGGTGGGGGGTTGTTATAGGAATGGAGGGATGAGGGGTGGAGGTGGTTATAGGAGGTGGAGGGATGAGGGGTGGAGGTTGTTATAGGAGTGGAGGGATGAGGGGTGGAGGTGGTTATAGGTGGTGGAGGGATGAGGGGTGGGGGTTGTTATAGGAGGTGGAGGGATGAGGGGTGGAGGTTGTTATAGGAGTGGAGGGATGAGGGGTGGAGGTGGTTATAGGAGGTGGAGGGATGAGGGGTGGGGGTGGTTATAGGAGGTGGAGGGATGAGGGGTGGAGGTTGTTATAGGAGGTGGAGGGATGAGGGGTGGGGGTGGTTATAGGAGGTGGAGGGATGAGGGGTGGGGGTGGTTATAGGTGGTGGAGGGATGAGGGGTGGGGGTGGTTATAGGAGGTGGAGGGATGAGGGGTGGAGGGATGAGGGGTGGAGGTTGTTATAGGAGGTGGAGGGATGAGGGGTGGGGTGGTTGTAGGAGGTGGAGGGATGAGGGGTGGGGTGGTTATAGGAGGTGGAGGGATGAGGGGTGGGGTGGTTATAGGAAGTGGAGGGATGAGGGGTGGGGTGGTTGTAGGAGGTGGAGGGATGAGGGGTGGGGTGGTTATATAGGGTACCAGTGTAGGGTCTGTACTGGGTACAGCCGTCTCCCCCCAGGCCTGGCTTGTGTCTCCTCCCTGTGAGTTGCAGGCTGGCACCCACGGAATCAGGCAGGCATGGCCTCCCTGTGTGCCCAGGCTGTCTGGCCTCTCACAGCAGCTGCTCAGAGTAGCAGCAGGTGCCGGGGATCAGGAGCATGGCCTCAGAGCTGTAACTCAGCTGGTAGAGGGAACGATGCCGTGGACTTGACTCCCGGCACTGCGTAGACTGAACACGGCGGTGAACACCTGTGATCCCAGGGACTGGGGGGGGGGGGGGGAGAGGAGCGGACGTTCAAGGTCGTCCTTAGGGAGTTTGAGGCCAGCCCGAGATATGTGAGACACCCTGGGGGAGGGGGAGGGGGCTGGAGAAGATGGGGAAGAGGAGAAAGAAAATGTGGAAGAGGAAGCTGAGGAGAGGAAGGGGAGGGGGGAGGGAGAAGAGGAGCCCTGGGTTCACATCTGCAATGGATAAAATGCCAAGCACGCTGTCAATGGGGCGCACCGTGCCGATGTGGCAGCAGGTGCAAGCACTGCGCCCCCTCCGGAGGCCGGTCCCTCAGCCACAGACATCTGCCTGGAAAGGACGGCCACTGTGCTCTCTTGGCGCCGGAGAGGACCGTACCCACTGAGAGCAGCAGCGTTGGGGAGGGCTGAGGACAGGCGCGGCTGCTCCTGCTCCCTATGCTGTCTGAGTGGCTGCTGAGGCAGGAGCAGTCCCCGTGTGGGCCCTCACTGGCACCCCTCACGCCCCTGCCACCGCCGTCACTGCACACAGGAGGAAGAGCTGGTGGCCTTGCTGGCCCGGCACTGCTACGTGCAGCTTGGGGCCTCAGTGAAGAGCGACGCTGTCCGGGAGCTGCTGCCCAGCTGCGTTCCCTCCAAGCTGTACCGGACCAAGCCTCCGGAGAAGTGGGCTAGCATCGTCACCGCTGCCCATGCCAAGGTCAGCCTGCGGCAGGCTGGGCTCTGGCCCTGAGCCTTCCTCCCCTTCCCCCCCATGAGTCTCCCCACATGCCAGGGGTCAGGAAGCTTTAGCAGGCACAACCCCGACTAACGGGACAAATGTCTCCTTAAGCTTAACACCTTGCCACAGGTTCCTGTCTGTCCCCCTCCCTCTTGGTCCTAAGTTTCTCGGCCCAGCAACACCTAGCTGGCCCTGTCTTCCAGGGCTAGAGACTCCACAGCCACTGAACGCTGACGATTCTGTGGCCCTGGCGTAGGCTCAGTTTCCCCTCTTGGTGCCGACCTCCAAGCTTCTCGGTGTCCCCTCAGCAGACACGTGGGAAATCTTAGGTCGGCGTGCAGACATCCTAAGTGTCTGGTGTGTGTGGCAGACGGCCAAAGCACCGTTCGTATGTGATGTGGCCATTGGCGCGCCTAAAGTCAGCACATGCGTGTTTCAAAGTTAAAAACAAGAACCGCAATTCGGCCCGTTACAGACACAGTGGGGCAAGTTAGGAAGGGGAAAGACAGGACAGACAAAGAAAGGAACTAACAGTGAAGACAGAAGCTTCTCCCAGAGGCTCCCAAATAGGAAGAAAGCCAGAATGAGGTGGATCCAGGGACACGCAGCGAGACGGTGATCCTAGACATGCGTTGGCGAGAGTCAGCCTGTGGTTGTCAGTTTGCTGTGGCTTCGGTGAGCCAGCTGAGCTGATAATGCTCTTTGGAACGAGGGAGGGGTGTGTGTGTAAGATGGCCCAGTGGATGAAGAGCTCACTGTGCAGGGCTGACACCCCGAGTTCAGATCTCCAAGGCTGATAAAAGCTGCAAGATGGAGCCCAAGCGTGTGCAACCCCCGTGCACGCCTGCATGGAGATGGGAGGCAGGGCACGGGAGGTTCCAGAGCCCCGGGGACCAGCCAGCCTGGCCCATGCAAGAGCGAGCAGGAAGAGACCTTGTGTCAAGTTGGTGGGGGGCGAGGGCCAGCCTCGGAGGCTGTTGTCCTCTGCCCTTCCACACGGCGGGGTGACGGAGGCGGCATCCGGGGTTTTCCACTCCACATAGGCCCCGTATACCCAGTCAAAAGCCGCCCCGCTGGCGGTGAAGGAGCAGACGGTGGAGGCTGCCCGTGTGCTGTGGCCCCTGCTCTTCTCCAGGCTGTTTGAAGTCACCACACTCTCTGGTAAGAGCATCTGGGGTTGGGGAGGAGAGGGAGCTGCTCCTGGTGGCCAGCGTGGCCTTCACTCTGGGTCACCTTCTGGCCAGGCCCCCGCCTTCCCAAGACACAGCTGATTTTGGCCATTAACTGGAAGGGGATGTGCTTCCTGGACCGGAAGGAGAGGATGCTGCTGGAGCTGACCTTCGCGGAGGTCATGGGTCTGATCGCCAACAGGTAAACCTGAAGCCTGTTGACTTCACAGCCCGAGTCCTTGGTTTAGATGCGTGTGGAACTCAAGGGCGGATATGGAGAGGGGGACTCGTCATCCTCAGGGGCCAGGCCGCAGCAGCCAGACAAGTACAGGAACCACAGGACTTAGGGACCCTCCACTCCTAGGGCCCTCAACTCCTAGGGATTCCTCCGGGCAGTCTGGGAAGCCCTCCCCAGGTTCCACGACAGCTCCTCGGTCACAGTCTGGATAGGTGGCCTATCCTAGGAACAGAGCCCCATTGTTCCCTGGGGTCAGCCGCCCAGCCCTTTCCTGGACAACCCAAGTCCTCACAGCACCCTTGCTGTGGGAGGGAACTGTCTTGTTGCCACGCAGAAACGATCTGGCAGGAAGGAAGGGCCTGACTGGCAGTCTGAGGGCACAGTCCATCGCGGTAGGTGAGACAGACAGCTGGTCCCACCGCGTCCAGTCAGGAAGCAGAGGGATCGCGTCCTCCTCCCTGTTCCATCAGAGATCTGGGCCTGTGGCGTGCTGCACCCACACATAGGGGCGGGTCTGCCCACATCAGTTAATTCAGTCTAGAAACCCTGCCAAGACATATCCAGAGGTGCTTCACATAGGTGATCTAGGCGCTAACAAGGTGACAATCGGTATTCACTATCTCACCCGCTCTGTAGAGAGGCAAACTGAGGCACGCCGACTAGGGAACTGCCCCAAGCTCCAGAGCAACCCTAGAGCATTCTGTGTGACGCTCCCTACCATCTTCTCGGAGAAGCCGTGCGTCTGGGACAGTGGAGCTGCCCACTGCCTCCGAGACCCAGAGACCTGCTGGTCAACCTCGACCCAGACCAGGCTGTCTCCAGGACCCTTGTTTCCCCATACGTAGCAGTGGAATTGCCACCGTCTCAAAGGCTGCTTGGGGGCCGGAACCATACAGGGTAGGGCAGACCCCAGATAACATTGCCACTTTGCGCCCTCAGGGATGCCCCCGGTGGACAGAGAATGCTCCTATCGACGCTGCATGAAGAGTATGAGTTTCTCTCCCCCAGCAGCGTGGCCATTGCAGAGCTGGTGGCCTTGTTCCTGGGAGGCTTGAAGGAGAGGTCTGTGTTCGCCATGGCCCTGCAGGACAGGAAGGCCACAGGTGCCTATTGGAAAGGGGAAAGGGTGGCAGGTTCTGGGATGGCGGAGAAGGGTGGCTTTCTCATATCCACAAGACGCAAAGCAGGGCTAGAGACACAGGCAGCCATGTGATGGGGTCAGCAAGCTCTCCATCTGAAGGAGCTAAGGGGGGGGGTCTTACACTCACACCCCACCAGGGTCACCAGGGCTTTCAGTCACTGGCAAGGTTAACTCATACCTACACACCATGCCCACAACCATCCCATTATCCCATTTTACGGACACCAGACCAGGAGCTTAGGCAGGAAACGGTTCACCCAGCACCACACAGCTTCCCTGAAAGCCCTTCCTCCGACAAGAGCTGGGCTGGAACCGCTAGGCCGTCACCAGACTCCAGACCTCAGTCACAGAGACCGATAAACGTTATAGGCAAACTGGCTGGAAACCAGAAGAAAGGGCTCCGTGGGAACCCTTCGACTCTGTGAGGAACATCAGGCCGGAGAGGGTTGCCCTGTACCCCGTTAGTCTCCTGATGACATCTAGGAAATGTCATCAGAGGTTTACAGACCTGCACGTGGGCTCAGAGGTCACAGAGCACTCTGGCCAGGCATGCAACCCACCAGCTGTATACTCTGCCTCCCCCCCCCCCCCCCGGCCCCTACTCAGCTCCTAGTCAGACCCCACAAGTCTATTAGGCTGGAGCCACAGTGAGAATTCCCATGCCCTGCCTGCCCAGGACAGTCAGGTGACATTTCCACACCCTCCTCTCAGAGTGGCCTTGAACCCGTGGTTACGTGCCTCAGTCTCTCCATGTGTCAAAGGATACCATCTCTGAAATGTCAGTGTGGTCTGGGGACTTTGGAGATCTCTCAGCAAATGTGGCATTCTTGTCTCTCTATGTGACCGGGACCTGCAGACGATGCTACCCTTCTGCCCTTCAAGAAAGGGGACTTACTGATCCTGACCAAGAAACAGGGACTGTTGGCCTCGGAGAACTGGGTCCTGGGCCAGAATGACAGAACAGGCAAGACAGGGCTGGTACCCACTGCCTACCTGTACATCATCCCCTCGCTCACCAAGCCCTCGGCCCAGCTGCTGGTATGTCACACGCACATCTCTGATCATCTGCGGCACTGTGAGCAGGGTCCTGGGATGCTTAGCCTGGGACCTCGCTCACCGTCTTCCTTTTAGAGACCCAGCAGGGCCACCCATGCGACTTTCGGGCAGCTCTGCCAATCCCTGTTAACCCCGGAGGATGGGGAGATTGGCATATTTATGCAGGCGCTTAGTAGGTGCTCAGTGAAGGGTGTCCCTCTTCCTCTCACAACGGAAATGACCTGGGGGCGAACTCAACCTTCCTCACCCCAGGGGCGCCCACATCACGTCCTGGCCCAGGGACACCCCTCGCCAGCCGGCCCCAAGAGCGGAAGCCAGAGACAGGCCTGCCACTCAAGGCTGCCGTCCGCAGCAGCTCCCAAATCCCTGACCAGACATGTCCTAGGGAGAGAGAGCCCTGGGTCGTGAGACCCAGAGAACGGTGGGACAGACTCCACAGCTAACTGGTGCTGATCTAGTAAAGAAAAGAGGCATCTTGTGGTGGTGGTGGGGGGGTCCAATCAGTTTGGTCACATGGTCGGCGGAGGCCTGTCACCCTTGTGTTCTGACCTCTTGCCACGACTCACCGAGGCAGCTAAATCAGGAAAAGCCTAGGGGAAGAGCCTTGTGGGCAGCGGCTCCTGGGTAACCTTGGCCTGACACACACACCCACCCCCGCTCCGCAGAGCTTGCTGGCCATGTCGCCAGAGAAACGGAAGCTGGCAACCCAGGAGGTGCGGGCCGCGGAGCCCCTGCTTGAGGAGCAGTCCTCGGAGTCACCGTACACCCTGGAGGAGTTCTCCTACCAGTACTTCAGGTGCTCTCTCCCGCTGCAAAGGCTGCCCGGAGGCTGGGGTGGCAGCTGCTTGGCCATGGGTACAAGGAGGGGAAGGCAGCCGCCGCCGGGAGGGGCCAGACAGGGCCAGAGGAAGCCTGGGCACAGCCGCCCCTACAACAGCCCTGTCCCTGGCAGGGCCCCGGACAAGGAGACCATCAGCATGGCCACCATGCCTATGGCCCGCAGCCGAGGCCATCTGTGGGCCTACTCCCCGGAGCCCCTGCGCCAGCCGCTGCTCAGAAGTGTCCACGAAAAAGCCAAACTTCGGGATATGGCCTGCCAGATCTTCCTTGATATCCTTCCTACCAGCCTATCCTAGAGGCGGGCGTGCCTACGGGCGTGCCCACCTCCAGGCCCACAGCCACCTGTGAGAAAGCACCTTGCAGAGCCAATGCTCAGCTCCCTGTAAGGATGTCTGAAGCTCCCGTAGAGGGGCCTGGAGGAAATGTCCATAGGGAGTGGGGCCAGTGTGAGCCTGGATCAGGGTTTAGAGTGTGCACTGGTCCAGATGTCAATTTGAGACTGGGTTCAGGGGGGTCAGGGTGAGCGTGGTCTAGGGTTCGGCCAGGGCCCCGGGGTAGCACCGGGCCAGGGTTAAGACTACGGTGCACGTTCAGCCTGGGGCTGCCTGGATACTATTGTCCTTCACAGTCACACCCATCCTCAAGTACACAGGCGACTATCCTTCCCGGCAGTCCTGGCACAGCCTGGAGCTCACAGATCAGATGTTCTCGCTAGCCCAGCAGGACCCGGCCCTTCAGGACGAGCTGTACTGCCAGATCCTGAAGCAGCTGACCCACAACTCCATCAGGTCCGCTGAGGGGTAGCCTCCTGTCCCAGGGCTCTGCCAGGGGCAGATGGCCACACGTGGGTCCGGACCCATACACCGCAGCCATGAGCAGTCCGGGGTCCTGTGTGCTCTCCTAGTCTCTAAGGACGGCAAAGAGGGACAGCCCTGCCCTGTACCGCGCCCACTCCGCTATGTGACCCGGGCAGGCTGTGGCCTCTCGGAACCGGTCCCACAAAGTGGACTGCGCACCTGCCTTGTCATCGGGGCAGGAAAGCGCCCTGTTACACCGGGCGGCTGGGTTGCGGGCTGGAATGACGTAGCCGTGGTGTGAACCACGTCCCCTTCCCCCTCCCCGTCCAAGCTCCCAAACCCGCAGGCCCAAGTGTTCCGTTCTCTGCCTCTGCCGATGCTGATGCTGACGGGAGCCGCCCCACCCCGCCCCACCCCCGCAGGTACAGTGAAGAGCGGGCGTGGCAGCTGCTGTGGCTCTGCACAGGCCTCTTCCCGCCCAGCAAAACGCTGCTGCCCCATGCTCAGAAGTTCATAGACTCCCGGAAGAAGAAACCGCTGGCTCCTGACTGCAGCCGCAGGCTCCACAGGGTTCTGAGGTAAGTCTGCAGCTCCTGCCTTAGAGCACCCTAGAGCACCAGCCCTGGGCCAGGGACCTGGCTCCCTGGGACCTCATGCCCCGGCCCCGCCCCGGGCCCGCCCCGGGCCCGCCCCGGCCCCGCCCCGGCCCCGCCCCGGCCCCGCCCCGGCCCCGCCCCGGCCAGGAAGATGGGACCAGATGGAGGGAGGGGCAGGAGGCCCAGGAGGATCTCAGGGAGGCCTGGGTGGTCAGAGGTGCTTCTGTCAGTATCGACAGCCATCTTACCCGTGGCTGCCCCGCCCCACATCTGCCAACTCAGAACACAGAAAAGTCAGCCGGGGTGCCAGCAAGTCCGAGGCATCTCGGAGCAGCCCAGGGTGGCTGAGGCTAGAAATCTGTCTCTCTTAACCCTTGTGCCGTGTCTTCCTCCCTACCGTCACCGAGAGGGTCTGCCCACAGAGCTCTGCCAATCCCCATTTACCCTAGAGCGACAGTGGATTTGGCATGTTTATGCAGGCACTTAGTAGGTGCTCAATAAAGGTTGCTCTCCTCCTCTCGCCGTGGATATCTCCCGGAAACAAACTCAACCTTCCTTGGCCCGTGCTTCATTTCAAACACGAGCCCAGGGTGTCCGTATCTTCCCCTGCCCCCTGGAGTCTCCTGCCTTCTCGGCCTTGACCGGGATGAATGTGGACGGACAGTGACTGTGAGTTGTCACACATAACTACAGTCACGGAGGAAGCAGCGTCCTTTGAAGGGCCACCCTGGAGTCCCCACCCCCTGTCCCATCCCCTGACCGGTGAACACAAGAACATCCCTGACCGTGGTGCCATAGCCAACAGTCCCTAGGATTGCTGGGGAGCCTGCGTGCCCCCAGTCTCCTTGAAGGCAGGTGGGACCGGGCTCATCTTTATCCCGGGGTCACAGGCAGAGCCCATGAGGCGGAGACGAACCCTAGGAAGTGTGAGGGGCAGGAATCTGCCTGCCCCTTGCCCTGGTCATTGAGGCTGTGGTTTCCAGCACCAGGCTGAATGCCCGGATTGAGGCTGGGTGCAGGAATGAGGGGGTGTCACTCCGGATCGAGGCTGGGTGCAGGAATGAGGGGGTGTCACTCCGGATTGAGGCTGGGTGCAGGAGTGAGGGGGTCAGGAATGAGGGGGTGTCACTCCAGATTGAGGCTGGGTGCAGGAATGAGGGGGTGTCACTTCGGATTGAGGCTGGGTGCAGGAATGAGGGGGTGTCACTCCGGATCGAGGCTGGGTGCAGGAAGGAGGGGGTGTCACTCCGGATTGAGGCTGGGTGCAGGAATGAGGGGGTGTCACTCCGGATCGAGGCTGGGTGCAGGAAGGAGGGGGTGTCACTCCGGATTGAGGCTGGGTGCAGGAGTGAGGGGGTCAGGAAGGAGGGGGTGTCACTCCAGATTGAGGCTGGGTGCAGGAATGAGGGGGTGTCACTTCGGATTGAGGCTGGGTGCAGGAATGAGGGGGTGTCACTCCGGATCGAGGCTGGGTGCAGGAAGGAGGGGGTGTCACTCCGGATTGAGGCTGGGTGCAGGAGTGAGGGGGTCAGGAAGGAGGGGGTGTCACTCCGGATCGAGGCTGGGTGCAGGAATGAGGAGGTGTCACTGTGGCTCACTCTGCCCTCCTCAGGATGGGGCCTCGGAAGCAGCCCCCACATCACACAGAGGTGAAGGCTGCTGAACAGAATGCCTCCAAGCTGTGCCATGAGGTCTACCTCCCCAATGACACCTCTGAGGTGAGTGCCCAGCCTGGCATCCGCAGTGGGTCTCGGGCCTCGGGAGGTTGCAGGGCACAGCCTCACCGTCCCAGCATGCTCTTGGTTCATTTAAATGGATGCGTAAGTCTAGGTGCCCAATGGACTCTCTCACATCTGGGTCACAGCACGCCTGCCTCCATGCTCCAAGCCGACACGGGGGCAGTGCCCTGAGTTAAGGGGCCGTGGCGAGGCTACCAGTGAGATCAGAAGAGGAAGGATTCCATAGGTACGAGTTGAGGTTCTCCACCAAGGAGAAAGGAAGGGAGCCGGAGGCTGGGCCGTCAGGCTGGGTCTGGGGCTTGTGGGCCCCTGGGGACATCGGCGGGGAGCCACAGCCTTGGGCCCAGGGCTTGCCCTGGAGACTTGGTGGGGCAGAAGGGGCGGGTAGGAGGAAGGTGACCAGTGGGTCCCAACTGTGGTAAAGAAACATCAAAGTAGACTGTGACTGATGCCACCCTCACAGCCTCCCCTGTGGCTTGGGTACATTTAAGTCCCTGTAATGGAAGTTCCCACAGTCTGGCTGCGGGGTCACAATATAGGTCCAAAGGGGCCAGACCTCCCAGGTCTAGCCTGGGCCCAGGACAGGAAGAGATGTTACCAAGTGGGTGATTTTTCTGGGGCCTGCCATTCTCCAGACAGAACATGGCCAGCCCAAGGTTTATAGATGACAGAAACAAGCCCAGGGTGATGGTTCAGTCATTAAAGTGCTTGCCAGACAAACAGGAGACTCTAGTTCAGCTCCCCGGCCCTCGAGGAGAAGCTGGGCTCTATGGCGCCGCGGAGGCAGAGGCTACCTGGAGCTGACAGTCGCCCCAGCCAAATGGATGAGCCCCACATTCAGTGGAGACCCTGGCTTAAACAACCATGTGCAAAGCAACCAAGAAAGACACTTGAGTGAGCTGAGTGTGGTGTGCACACCTTCGATCCCAGCACTCGGGAGGCAGAGGCAGGCAAACCTGAGTTCAGGCCAGCCTGGGCTACAGAGTTAGTTCTAGAGCAACCAGGGCTACACAGAGGAAGGAAGGGAGGAAGGACGGACACTTGAGGTTCACCTCTGGCCTTCATGTTCATGTGTACACAAGTGTACACGACCCACATGGGCACATACCCACATGAACATGAACACATGCACACACACACTCACTCACACACTCACTTACACGCACGCACACACTCACACACATGCGCACTCACACACTCACTCACACACACTCACACACTCACTCTCTCACACACTCACACATGCATGCACACTCACACACTCACACACGTGTGCGTGCGCTCACACACATGGTCATTCACACACTCTCACACACTCACACGCTCACTCACACGCGTGCACTCACACACTCACACACGTGTGCGTGCGCTCACACACATGGTCACTCACACACTCTCACACACTCACACGCTCACTCACACATGTGCGTGTGCTCACACACATGCTCACTCACACGTGCATGTGCACCACACACACTCACACATGCATGCGCACTCACACACTCACACACGTGTGCGCTCACACACTCACTCACACTCACACACTCACTCACATACACGTGCACTCACACACTCACACATGCATGCACGCTCACACACTCACTCACACACGCATGTGCACTCACACACACTCACACATGCATGCTCACTCACACACACTCACTCACACACACACACACACACACACACGGAAAGGAGGGCGTAGGCTTGGGAAGCCTCCTTGCCTACACTGGGACCTGGGCCTCACCCGCTCTCTCCCTGTGCAGACAATGGAGGTGAACAGCAGTAGCCGGGTGCGAGACCTGTGCGAGGGCATCGCCACGAGGCTGAAGCTAGCGTCCTTGGATGGCTGCAGCCTCTTCATCAACATCATAGGCAAGGTGAGCAACTTGCCAGGCCGAGGAGTAGACCCCTTGCCAAGGAGAACTCTCACGACCAGCAGACTTCAGCCTGCCCAGAACGCTGCACTAGCCAGGCCCTTCCCTTCCGTGCAGCTGGGGCTCTTAGGACGCAAGGGGAGGAGTCTCGCAGTCAAGCCCCCTGCTGGTCAAACCCCCTCCAGCCCACCCAGCCACGCCCGCCTCTGCCTCTTCCCTAGGTCATCAGCCTGAAGGAAGGAGAGTTCTTTTTTGACAGCCTTAGGCAGGTGTCTGACTGGGTGAAGAAGAACAGGCCCCAGAAAGAAGGTGAGGGGCGTCTCCGTGGAAGGGGGCGGCTGCTGGCTGAGTCGCTGGTGTAGTCCCAGGCCTGTCCATCCGCTCACTCAGCCCCGCGTCCCCTAGGCATGCAGGTGGCTAGCTCCCTGCCTGGTGTAGCCCAGGGCCCCACTTCCCGACGTGGTGGGCAGGGGAGGGATGTGTCTGAAGGCAGCTCCTCCATTCTCCATGAAGACGAGTCAGGAGCCAGGGAGGAGGAAGGACGCAGCCTCTCCGGGCCAGAAAGCAGCAGGAGTCGCGTGCGGACTCAGTCAGGACTGAGTCTTTGGAGCCTGCTGGGATAGGCTTGGTGCCCACTGCCGCCCCCTCTCCTAGGGGCCCCCATAACACTTCCCTACCAGGTGCTCTTCATGCGGAAACTGTGGCTCAACGTGACCCCCGGGAAGGATGTGAATGCGGACACCATACTCCACTACCACCAGGTACCCACCGGGGCCCTGGAGTCACAAGAGCCATTGTGGTCCTATCCCAAACCGGTTCTGAGGCGCGGGAGAGGAGGGGTACGGAGGGGACGAGCAGGCCAAAACCCTGAGGGTTCTGGGGTCAAGGCCTACGGCGTGAGCCGGGAAGAAGGGGCGCAGAGGGCTGAACTTGATGCACCGGCTTGCTGCTTGAAAGGACCACATCACATGGACAAAGCCCACGCCCACCGCGGCACAATGCCAGGGAGCCGTCACTTAGATCTCTCTGCTAGTCAGACACGCTCCCTGAGGTCCTCAGCCCTTGGCCTGCTCGATTAGTGAATGGGGAGGACACGACACCACCCCCACCCCCACCCCCGGCTCCTGTCGCCTAAGGCCCAGCATGTCTGCCACTCAGGAGCTACCCAAGTACCTGCGAGGGTTTCACAAGTGCTCCCGGGAAGACGCCATCCACCTAGCGGGTCTCATCTACAAAGTCCAGTTCGGCATTGACCAGTCTCAACTGGCTAATGTCTCAAAGATCCTGAAGGATCTAGTGCCTCAGAACCTCACAAGACTGATGTCCTCCGAGGAGTGGAAAAAGGTCTGGCAGAGGAACTGCGTGCATGGGCAGGCTGGTTGGCTGGGGATTCGGGCTGCCTGCCCCTGGCCTTTCCCTGTCCCTGGCCCTGCCCCTGTGCTGACTTCCAGACGGGTGGGCATTGCTCCGGCCTGAGTCCCGGAGCCCCTGGGTGTCCATGCCCTGTGTGCCGGGCCCCGTGTGGGCAGGGCAGCCTGCCCAGGTCCTCAGTGACCCTGTTTTCCTTCAGAACCTCCTTCTGGAATGTGACAAACACAAGAACAAAACCACGGCCGAGGCCAAGGTGGAGTTCCTGAAGTGGATCTCCCGCTGGCCTACCTTTGGGTCTGCTTTCTTTGAGGTGAAGGTAGGCTTTAACCCGTGCTCAGCTCCTGCCCCCAATCAGGCCCCATCCAACTGAGCCCTCAGAGGTATGACCCGGGTGGGTGTGTTCCAGCTGTGGCGAACACGAACTTTTAAAAAGTGCCCGCCTGGGGGCTGAGGAGATGTCTGGGTTGACAAAAGTGCTTGCCTTGCAAGTGTGAGGACCTGAGTTTGACCCTGATGTGGAAACACAGGAACAGGCAGGGCTGGTCACGAATGTTGCCTGCCAGTGGGGGAGGGGGGGGACACTGGCTGGCCAGCCTGTCTGGCGTATTTGGTAAGCTCCAGGAGTGTGAGAGACCTTGTTTCAAAAGATACAAGACATACACACCACACTTACATACACATACACTCCCATGCGTACAACCAGTGAGGCGGCTGTGGATTAAGGCACTGGTCACCCGAGTCTGATGACCTGAGTTCAATCCCTAGGACCCACAGGGTGGAAAGAGCTCGTCAACCCCTGCCCTTGTCCACTGACCACACACACACACACACACACACACACGCTGTGTGCACACGCACTGACCTCACTCTCACACATACTATGTGCAGACACACGCTGACCTCACTCTCACACACACATACACACTGACCTCACTCACACACACACTGTGTGAACACACACACACTGACCTCACACACACACACACACTGTGTGCACACACACACACACTGACCTCACTCACACACACTACACTGTGTGCACACACACACTGACCTCACACACACACACACACTGTGTGCACACACACACTGACCTCACACACACTACACTGTGTGCACACACACACTGACCTCACTCACACACACACAGTGTGCAGACACACACAATACTCATTTGAGAAACAAAGGCGACTGGCACCTGAGGAATGATACCCAAGATTGACCTCCGACCTCCACACACAGGCACACGTGTGCACAGACCACGCAGGTGTGCACACATACCTGCCCTGTATGAACACAAACACACATATAGATAGGAAGTGGTTTCCTGACCCCCTGGGCTTGTCTATAACCATTGTCTCTCTCTCTCTCTCTCTCTCTCTCTCTCTCTCTCTCTCTCTCTCTCTCTCTCCCTCTCCTCAGCAAACCTCCGAGCCTTCCTACCCAGACATTCTCCTCATCGCCATCAACAGACGTGGGTTGCTGCTCATCCACCCCAAGACCAAGGTAGAGCGTGGGGGCTGTCCCCTAGTCTGGGGCGGATGTCTTTCTTCCTGTCCGCCCCTCCCCTGCCGCCAGCCTGCTGCCATTGCCTCTGTGTCCCCAGGAGCTGCTGAACACCTACCCTTTCACCAAGATCTCCAGCTGGAGTAGCGGCAGCACGTACTTCCACATGGCCCTGGGGAGCCTGGGCCAGGGCAGCCGCTTGCTGTGTGAGACCTCTCTGGTGAGCTCAGGCCCCATCCCCCACCCCTGCACAGCACCCAGGGAGGCTGGGATGTTCTCGTTACTCAAATCCATGTGGAAGTCGCTCACTGTGTGAGACTGCCTGCCCGGGGCCAGGCTAAGCCGGCCAAGGCCTGTCGGGGGTCAGATGCGTCCCCGAGGCCGGCAGTCCACGCTCATGTCCGAAGACTCTGAGCCGACTCCGGGCCGTGCCAGCCCCTTCTAGGGAGAGGGTGGGACTCAGGCCCACCAGAGCCAGCAGCGGCAAAGCCCAGCGTGAGGGGGGTTTCCTCCCTTCCTTCAGTTCTGCCGCGGCCTCGGGGCTCTCCCCACCCCCACAGCTCTGACCCCGCCCTGTGCTGTCTAGGGCTACAAGATGGATGAACTGCTGACCTCGTACGTACAGCAGCTCATGAATGCAGTGAACAGACAGCGAGGCTTCGCGGCCCCCGCCAACCCCTAACGCGTCCCGTCCACACTCAGCCTTCCCCGCGGGGATCCCACCCCCTCGGCACACCAGATCTATCGCCCCTCCTGGGTGCAGAGGCCGACGACGGAAGGTCTCAAGCCTCCTGGAGGGTGATGGGTCTCAAGCCTCCTGGAGGGTGATGGGTAACTCCCCCGAATTCACAATAAAAGTCACCTACCCGGAGGGAGCGTGTGTCTCTGCGGGGAAGGGTGGGTGCTCTCTACCCACCAGAGGGTCTCACCCACATAAAGCAAAGGGCACTGTGACTTTTCCCAAAACCAGGTAATAATCACACTCTCCAGGCATGACTTCCCTTGTCCTTCCCCCCTCCCCCTCCTCCCCTCCCCTCCCCTCCCTCTGCCACCTCTCCCTTCCCTCTCGTTCTCAGAGGGTGTCCCTGGAGACCCTGCTTCCTGGGCCCTCTGCACCAGGATGCCCGCTGTGCTCCCAGGACGCCCGCTGTGCTCCCAGGACGCCCGCTGTGCTCCCAGGACGCCCGCTGTGCTCCCAGGACGCCCGCTGTGCTCCCTGGACGCCCGCTGTGCTCCCAGGACGCCAGCTGTGCTCCCAGGACGCCCGCTGTGCTCCCAGGACGCCCGCTGTGCTCCCAGGATGCCCGCTGTGCTCCCAGGATGCCCGCTGTGCTCCCAGGATGCCCGCTGTGCTCCCAGGATGCCCGCTGTGCTCCCAGGATGCCCGCTGTGCTCCCAGGACGCCCGCTGTGCTCCCAGGACGCCTGCTGTGCTCCCAGGAGGGCCTGGCGGAACGGTCATGTCAATGGCAGTGAACAGGACTTTGGAGACCTGTCCAGCCGATAGGCTTTGAGAGATACACGCCACCACACCGCCATCACACACTTACCAAGCTAGCCCACGCGGCCACTGCCACCTGAGGGAATCCTGGCTGATTTTGTCTATAAATCCTGGGAGCGGCCAACCTGGGAGACCCGAGACTCTCTGGCCTGCCTGTCTGGGGGTGTCTCCGGGCGTGGATCCTCCCCAAGCTTAGCTCTACAGTACCGAGGACCCTCCTCGATCCCTCCCCGATCCCTCCCCCATCCCTCCCACAGACCACACCGGCGCTCCTAGTGTGTGAATCAACCTTCATTGCAAAGCATTTGACCACTTGCAGGTCTGAGCTGGCTGGGGCGGTGTGCCCCTGCCCCAGGGGGAAGTGGGACCCCAGCCTTGGTGGGCAGCCGAGAGGCTTTCCGCGAAGTCTCCTGATAGCGAAGGCAATGGGACTCTCGGCCCTGCAGCTGGCTCGCCCCAGAGGTGGCTGGGCTTGCAGTGTCAGCACAGGGACCTAACGTGGCTGAATAACTGAAGGGTTCCCTCTCCCCCAGAAGCCTCCATCTGCACGCTGCTGGCCCTGGGGCTGGGGCAGCTTCCCAGCCAAGCCCTAGGGACTCTCTGAGACTGAAACTTTCCAAGGAGAGTGGAATGGACGGGTGTCGGGCTGGGATCTGTGGTCCAGTCCTGGCCCGGATAGCTCCTGTGCCGGGAGACCGCAGGCACGGGAGGAAATGCCGATGAGGCTGGGCCAGGTCTCAGTGCTGAAGGGAGTACTACATAGCCCTAGGTAGACTGGGAGCAGAGAGGGTGACATCACCAGAGGGAGGGGCCTGGGAAGGAGGAGCAGAAGTGGGAGGGGGCCATCAGGAATTGGGGCAGCAGGGTGAGGGCAGAGGTTCTGCAAGCAGGCACACGAAGGCCGGAGGCCCTTCAGACTGAGTTGACGTCCACAGACTTGGGCTGAGCCTTGCGTGAGGTCATGTCAGACAGCTTCTTCAGCCTCTTCTTCAGCTCCAGGGGGAACCTTTCATAGCACCTCTTACACACAGGCTTCATATCGAACTCCACAAACTTGTTCCTGCAGGCAGAGCCCCAGAAGTCTATGCCCTACCAACCCGACTCCGGACAGGAGCCCAGCGGCAGAGGGGAGCAAGTTTCCCTCAGCTGCCAACCCCCTGCCCTCCCGCGCCAGCCTGACAGAGCCTCCAGGGTAGGATGCTGGCTGGCCAATGGGCGCTCATAGAAGCCTCTCTCCAGAACCCCAATGGCCCCTCTGCTGCTCTTTGAACCCCACCCTCCCTCACAGTCCCAGCCACCCCACACCCTTACAGTCTTCAGGAGGGAGCCAGACACCCACCCGACAGCTTGCACCGTTCCCTGAGCCAGAATGTCCCTCCCCGAAGCCCAGGGTTCTTGTAAGTGTGTAACTGCCTTCGTCACCGTTCTCTGGGGTCCCTGGGCTCCCTCATCTGCCCGGCCGGCCCCTGCCTCACACATGCCCAGGGCTTGCCTGAGGCTGGAGTTCAGGGAGAGCAGGCTGGAAAGTCAGAGCTGCAGAGCGCCCGCCCGTTACTCACTTCAGAGTGAGCTTCATGTTGCAGGTGGAGCAGGAGAAGCAGGTCACGCACCAGGCTTTGCTGAGGGCCGACACCACTGTGAGGCCAGATGTGGGGTTAGCAAGGCCCACCCCGGCCAGCTGCAGGCCAAGCTTTGCACAGCCAGGGCCAGATGGACCCTGCAGCTGTGTGACAAGCTCCCCTCCACCCGCCACCACCAACACCACCACCACCACAGCCACCACCACCACCACCACCAACACCACCAACACCGCTGCTGCCGCCACGCTCCAACCTACAGCCCCTCCCACCCACCCCCATCCCTCCAGGGAGAAAGCAAGGGAGGGGGGCTGGGGACAGAGGCCTCACCGTCACCCTCAATCACACGACTACAGTTGTAGCAGACGTCCCCAAAGAGCTGTGAACAAACCAAGCCATCAGGGCGGTCCACAGACACAGCAACCCCCCCAGTCATTCCTGGGGACACCGAGCCCACTGAAAGCTCGCCCTGGGAAGGCTCACACGTTGAGACGTTGCCCCCCAAGTCCCCCTCATTGCTCCCCACTGGTGAATCCTACTGAAGTCCTCCTGCAAGAGTGAGGGTCAGGGTGGGGCCCCATCCCATCAGCCCCTGGGGCCACAATGGCGTCCTATCAAATGAAGACACTGTATGGACAGCTGCTTACACCTCTTACGCACGGACTTCAAGGCTAAGCCGGAGCCCAGTACCCAAGCGCACAAGCCCGGCTTCTGGTACATCCAACGGGCGTCAGGTGCCTGTAGCACCCCCACAAGCGCTAAGACCCTAGGAAGCATCTTGCTGTGCTTTTTCTCATCGTGTGAGGACACGTTGCCCCCCCCCCAAGAGACAGGGCCGCAGAGCCCATAACCGTTCCCGGGACCTTCTCCAACAGGTCACCCGAGCGCCACGTCTGCACAAATGGAGATGTCCGAACGCACAGCCCCAGTCCCGCTCCCTCAGGTCCTGCAGCCCTTGACCGCACTCCGGCCCCGTGTCTTCTCAGGCCCATGCCAGGCCGTACCTGGTTGTAGTGGGTCTCACAGTAGGCTAGACCTTTCTTCTCATAGTGACGGTGACCCAGGAACGGCTTCTCACACTTGGCACAGACAAAATGCTGAAGGAAAGGAAAGACGGGGTGGCTGGGCAACAGCAGGGCTGCCCCAGGGACCCCAGGACACAGGGAGAGGCTCACAGCTGGGTAGAAATGACCCCAGTGTGGGTGCCGTAGGAGCCAGCCGGGCCTTCTGCTTTTGCTCTTCTCAAAGCAGGGTCTCAGGGAGCCCGGGAGGTTTTCAAACCCACCGTGCAGTCGAGGGTGATGCTGAGCGTCCGACCCTCCCGAGGGGTAGGATCACAGGCGTGCTCTACCGTGCCTGCCTTGCGCTGGGCACTGAACTCAGGTCTTTGTGTAGGTAACGCAAGCGCTCTACCAGCGAGCAGCGTTGCCAGCCCTCATCACCATCTTTGAGCATGTCACAGGGATTTCCTTTGTCACTGGGGTCCTGCTTAGCAAGCAGACCGTGAGCCCACATAGGTGGAGCTGCCCTGATATTAGTAGGTGCCTCCTGTGCCACACACATCCCGACACACACACACACACACACACACACCCGACACACATGCGCACACACACACCCAACACACACACCCGACACACACACACCCAACACACACACGCACACACACACCCAACACACACACCCAACACACACAGGTGCACACACACACACCCGAGACACACACACCCCGACACACACACGCACACACACACCCGACACACACACCCAACACACACACAGGTGCACACACACACACCTGAGACACACACACCCCGACACACACACACACACACACCCGACACACATGTGCACACACACACCCAACACACACACCCAACACACACACCCAACACACACACAGGTGCACACACACACACCCGAGACACACACACCCCGACACACACACACACACACCCGACACACATGCGCACACACACACCCAACACACACACCCGACACACACACCCAACACACACACAGGTGCACACACACACACCCGAGACACACACACCCCGACACACACACACCCCTGAGACACACACATGTGCACACACACACCCCTGAGACACACACATGTGCATACACACACCCAACACACATACACACACACACACACACACATGCCCGGAGAGTATAAGGACAACCTGCCATCCTTTTGAGCATGTGAGGACCCCCGATACCCAGAGACAGGGCAGCACACCCCATAGCCTTTTCTAGTAGGCCACCCTGGACACAGAGATGGCCAGGCCACTGGAGCTGCGAGAATTCTAAGTGTGTCTAGGAGCGTGTAACATCGCTCGGGAAAAGGATAAGAGCTGACTTAGGAGCCCATCACCTCCATGCCTGTGTGGGCCTGTGCACCCAACAGGTCCTACCGTCCGCAGCCCCACGGTTGCTCTGCGCAGACTGTGCCTAAGGCTGATTCCAGATTGCAAAGATAGGTAAGAGGGGAGGTGGGTGTGGCTGTCTGATCGTGGGCTCTGGCGTCCTGGCTCCTATAGAGATCCTGGCCAGAACGAGGAGAGGCTGCCCTCAGAAATGCTTTCACAGGGAACCAGCCACGGCACGGCCTGGGGTGAGGTTCACAGGGACTGTTAACCAGGCCACTTCGTGACATGGATTTGTGTCCCACTTTCAGGCTTACCTCCACATGCCACTGCTTGCCCAATGCGTTGACCACGCGGCCCTCGATTGGCCGGCGGCAGGCCCCACAGATGGGGACGCCCATCTTGTCATGGCAAGGCAAGCAGTAGAGCTCACCCTTCAGCTCTCGGGCATCGGAGGTCAGCTCCTTCCTGGAAGACAGCACAGGGCATCCGCAGGGGCATCCCTGACCTCCTGCAGGACCACTGTAACCCTTGGTCCAGGGAACTGTGCCTGAGGCTCCTGCTCTGGCTGAGCCAGCTTGCTTTGACCTCTGGAGACTTCCTGTGTGCACCCCAGACAGGCCCCAAGGCACAGAATCCCCGCCCAGGCCTGCAGAGAAGTGCCTGTGTACTGTCCAGCTAGCTTCTTGAGAGAAAGGTCTGTTTCTCCTCACCCCCTCCCCTCTAAAGCAGGCTGGCAAGCACGGAAGGGATTCTAGGGAACTGCAGGAGACCGTCAGCTTTTCTGCCCTGTTCCTCCTCTCTTCAACACCAGTACAAACCTTATACACTCCACTCTTTCTTCTCCGTAGTCCAGGGGCTACCCTCCTCAGATCGCAAGTGCCCCTGGACTGGGAGAGCGGTTTCCCACCTCATCCCACCCACCAGTACCCCGCCTCATGAGCGCCCTCTATGCCTACCTTGTTCGCCTCTGCCCTGGGTGGGAATCCCAGCAGCCCCACTGTGTGACAGCCAGGATTGCCCTTGCCGTGTCCGGGGCCAGGACTGGGCACCTACCCACAGTGGGAGCAGCTGAAATGATCCGGGTGGTAGGGGTCATTCTTGAACATGAGGGCCTGCTCATCGATGGCTAGGTGACACCGCTGGCAGATGAATTTGCCCAGGCCCTTGGCCTTCTCCCGGTTGTGGCAAGGCCGGCAGAGGTGCCTGTAAGAGGTCAGAGCCGTGTGAGGGAGGGCTCCTCCCTCTACCTCTTCCCAGAAATGCCTGACCGTCTGCTGGGAGAGGACGTCCAAAGTCCTGACTGCAGCCTCAGTGACAGCTGGGTAATTCAAAGTGAATAAGCCCAAGTTTGAGACAGCTTTTTCCGTCACAAGGCACGGAAAGCCATAGGTAACGATTCTGGAAGGGATGCCCTCCCGCACTCTGCAAAAGACCGGGGGCAGGTAAGCTAGCTCGGCAGGTAAAGGCCCTCGCCACCAAACCTAACAACCTGAGGAATGTGAACCCCAACGCTCATGTGCTGGACCCCACACACGTACACCGGAATGCGGGTGCTTGCTGTCTTTGGAAAGCGTGCTTCCCCGCCAAGGCTGGCTGAGCCTAGGACACTGTGTCACACAGAAGAGATGTCTAGCTGCCATTTGCTGAGGAGTTGTACTTTTCACATGTCTCTTAGGGCAAGCGGCAGTGAATGTGAGGCATGGAATGTCACAGCGCATGGCGGCGTGGCCAAATCCAAGCAGGGCTCATCGCCCCTTCCTCTGGAGCCCGCCGGATGAAGAGGGGCCCTAAGCCTCACAAGTGCTTTCTGTCCCCAGAGACAAGCAAAGCTGTGTCGCACGGAGGCCCCCGAGCCCAGCCACTGTCACCACAGAGTCCTTTTTTGTGAGGACTTCAGTCATTTCTGATTCTGCTCCTTGCCCTGAGCAACAGCTGTGGTCTTAACAGAGAAGGAAATCAACACAGGTTCTGTTTCCTCGCCATTGAGGGTGCGAAGAATTTAGATTCAGGGTCCTCAGGCAAAGGATGCACAAAAACCCCAATCCAATGCCCCTCGACCTCTATTCCGCACCTGTCACCCCAGTAGGGTGATCCTGCTGGGACCTGGCCCTCCTTGCCAGGCTCCAAAATCCACAGAGGCAATTCTGTCACTAGCCTCCAAGGCCAAGCAACCATTAGCCCTCTGTGGATGTGTGTGTGTGTGTGTGTGTGTGTGTGTGTGTGCACGGGCGCGCGCGTGCCCGTGTGCATGCATGCATGCGCGCACACGCATGTGCATGGGCACTGTATATACATATTTGTGTGAGCTGTGCACCAGTGCATGCCGATGTGTGTACAGGTATGTGCACATGTGTGCAGGTCAGAGGTCTGACTCACGAGCCCCCTAGCGCCACCCCCCCAAACCTCAGTGATCTCTGGAATTACGCCATAGAGCATTACTCTCTACACACCCTGAGGTCTTCTGAGACCAGCACAGCGCTAGAGGCCCAAGCAAGGTGTGCGCTGCTACTTTCTGAGCTACTGGCTGTACCTCCACGGGACCATGGATGCCCATCGCGGAGGGAGTGGCTCACAGCTGGTGCACTGGATACGTGCGTGGAGGCGTGACTACGCATGAGGGAAGAGAGAGACGGTGGACATAACCCTGTGACAGCAGCCAAGCTGAAACTGGGGCCAGTGTCCAGGCACAGGTGACCTGGGCTCCTCCCACGCCACGACAGGCAGCGGATGTGGCTACAGCCTTCACTTCTGGGTTCCCTGGAGTCCACCTCCCCCCCGCCCCCCCACATCTGCGCTCTGACGTCACCCAGGACATACACGCAGCAGCCAAGGACACCGGTGCCTTGTCCAGTCACTCGCTGTAATCAGCTCCTTCTCTCTACCTGCGTCCCTGTCACAGGCACGGCCTCACTCCCCATGACTCCCTTCCAAATTTGGCAGCTCCTCCTTAGAATCAACACAGCACGCAGCCAATACAGAAATACACTTCAAAGCTGCTGCTCTCACACCACAGCTCAGGGAGTTAGACCCAGCCTCGTCCACACAGTGAGACACTGTCAAAGTCACCGAACCCAAGGGCGAGAGAGATAGACCAGTTGGTGAAGAGCTTATTTTTGCAAGCACAGAGTCCTGAGCTCGATCCTCAGAATCGATGCTTTAAGAAATTGGACACCGGGATAGCTCAGCGGGTAAGGGTGCCTGCCACCAAGCCTAGTGACCTGAGTTCCACCCCTAGGACCTACGTGGCGGAAGGCGAGAACCAGCTCTCCTAAGCTGTCCTCTGACTTCCGCCACATATCACAGCACGCACACACCCATGTAGACAATCATAGCAGGCTGTTTTTAAAGGCTGGGCATGGCGGTACGCGTGTATACTAACCTCAGTGTTGGGGGAAGGAAGCAGGTGGATCCCTGGGGCTCACCGATCCAGCCACGGTAGCCTAACTGGCAAGCTACAGGCCAGTGAAAGACCCCGTCTCAAAACGACAAAAGATGGGTCAGGCGGTGGTGGCACACGCCTTTAGTTTCAGCACTCGGGAGGCAGAGGCAGGCGGATCCCTGTGAGTTCAGGATAGTCTGGTCTACAGAGAGAGTTCCAGGATGGCCAGTGCTACACAGAGAAACCCTGTCAAGAAAAAAAAAAGTCGGTGGCATCTAAGGAGTCACTCCTAAGGCGTGTCTCTGGCCCCGCACACACACTGCGCGCACACACAGCTCAGCTGCCTAAAATTCTCTTGCAAAAATTTTAAAGTGGCGATGTCCATGAAGCTACCTTGGTAACAGAACACCTGTGATGGGCTGAAGGCGTAATAATAACTCAAGCCCCAGCACGCACAAGGCCCCCTGTTCAATCCTTCGTCTCAGAAAAATGAAAAAAGTATGTGAATCCAAGAATGCTCTGCTCAGGGCAGCCAACTGCATGTCTAGCCAGTTTGACGGAGGACCCAGGTCCTCTGCAATGACAGCCAGTGTGACGGAGGACCCAGGTCCTCTGCAATGACAGCCAGTGTGACGGAGGACCCAGGTCCTCTGCAATGACAGCCAGTGTGACGGAGGACCCAGGTCCTCTGCAATGACAGCCAGTGCTCTTAACTACCGAGCCGTCTCTCCAGCCCCTGACCTTCTTTTCAGTGACAGGGCCTCCACCTGGCTTGGAACTTACTGGTCTGGTTACCATATCTGGCTAAGGAACCCCTAACAACCTCCCTGTCTCCACTCCCCCAGGGCTGAGATTATAGGCAAATGCTACCACACCAAGGTATTTCCACATGGGTTTTGGGGATCGTATTCAGGTTTTCTTGCTTCCCTGGAAAACTCTTGGCGAGCTGTACCCCCAACTCCTTAGGTATGGCTTTAATTTTTTCTCTAAGAGGCCTTTAGAACTTCGCGTGCGCGCGCGCACACACACACACACACACACACACACACACAGAGAGAGAGAGAGAGAGAGAGAGAGAGAGAGAGAGAGAGAGAGAGAGAGAGAGAGAGAGAGGTAAGGTGGAGTGTAAGAATTTGCATGTCCTTTAATCCCAGCACTAGGGAGGCAGAGTCAAGAGATGAGATCAGCCTGGTCTACTGAGTGCTTTCCGGGATAGCCAGGACTACATATAGAAACCCTGTCTCAACCCCTCTCCCCCCAGAAAAGAATTCCCATGTTAAAAATGCATCAGGCCAACAGAAGAGAACAAGCGCTCCTGAAGCCTTGCTTCTGCGGCGACATGTGCCAGGCTGTGGGGCCAGGCTCTACCACCTGCTAGAGTTTGCCACAGGGGGAACGACTTTACTCCTCTGAGCTTTGGTTTCCTCGACTGCCAAAGGGGCGCGGTCCCCAGCTGCACAGCTGTGTGAGAAGACAAACTGCAGACAGATGCCGTTGGGTAGCAGGGCCCCTCCAGATGCTAAGCGCACACCATTGTAAATTGTTTTGCGTGTTTATTTTTCCAGACTAGACCTCATGTAACTGGGGCTGGCTTCAAACTCACTAAGTAGGCAAAGATGTCCTTGAACCTCTCATCCTCCTGCCTCTGCTTCTCAAGCTCCGGGATGCACCGCCGCCGAGCAGTTTATGCGCATCCTTGAGGGCAGAACCCAGGCTTTTGCCCTCACACTGGACAAGCCCTGGGCTGGCTGGGCTATCCCCAGCCATCACTTCAAACCCTTCAACTGGAAACCTCAAGCATTTTGAAACTAAGGAGGCTGATTTGGCTGCGCTGTATTGCTGCCTCGGTAGTGATAAATCAGCCTTGATGAACTTGGATGAGTCACAGGCAATGCCCGACACATCTCAGCTTCGAGACACCCCAGAAGAGCAAGCCATGGTCGTGGAGCCACTGAGGCCCTCCTGCTGGCCACACTCTGCCGAGAAGCCCGCCCAGGCAGGAGCCAGGCCTGCAGATTGAGCTGAGCTGCAGCCCCGCGGCACAGACAGCACCCCTTTATAAGGCGCCTGCAGCTGTGCCGGGCTCCGCATGAAGGCCATGATTTATTCCACACACCCAAACGGGGCCTAATTATACCGGAGAGGACACAAGGACCCTACAGCAAGTGTCTGAAAGAATCCCCTCTCATCTGGCCTTCAGCTCCTCAGCTCCAACCCTGGCATGTACAATAACACCCCCCACCCCCCACCGGCCCAGTAAGCTTGGGATCCTGGCCCGTTGCCATGGTAGCTGACCCCTCCCTCTCCCCCCATTAGTAGAAAAATCATCCCCTTCTGAAATGTCCTGTTGTGTCTGTCAATTCCAGCCAAAGACCCCCACCCGGCCCGGCCCTTGCCCACTCCCAGGCTCCCAGGACGGTCACACACTTGGCCTCTGTGGTGCTCTGTGGCCTGGCTGGGGGATGGGGCTATGCACAATCTGAGGACACACTGGAATATTCAGTGCGTGCTCCCTGGACGCAGACCCAGCTGGAGAAGCAGCCTACCCCACAAAGGACCCCTGAGGAATGAAGCCGCTTTTCAGGTTCAGAGGCGCTGTGGGCTCTCCTTAAATAGTCAAGCCTCCCTCCGACGGCTGCAAGGAGTCCACCTGGAACGCCATTCACTGTCCACCCACAGCTGACCTGCTTCCCGTCCTCTCCCTCCCGCGTCCTCTGCAACAGGTAAGGGGCAGGGGGCGGGCAGGGAGGGTTGGGGAGCCTCTGGGGACCGAGCGGAGGTGACAGGGCATAGACGCCACGCAGTCACACGGGACCCTGGGCTGTTGAACAACGTCCAGGGCCCTGAAAATTCCTACTTTTTATCATTATTTATTAAAGCCATGACTTAGGCTGGTCCTGAACTCACTACATAAAGGAAGGTGACCCTGACCTCTTGCCCACCTTCCAAGTGTTGGGATTTACAGGCACTTGCCACCACGCCCAGTTTTACGTGCTGGGAATCAAACCCAGGGCCTCATGCATACCAGGCAAGCACTCTCTCACCTAAGCTATATCCCCAACCCGAATTCTTCTTTTTGAGCAAGGGGTTGTGCATTTTCATTTTACCCTGAGCCCCCAAAGTTAGGCAGCCAGTCCTGGAAATGCCCCCACAAAGGACAATGGGCAACCCCAGTGCATGGTATGTGAAAAGCCACTCCCAGCTCTGGTCACCGGGTACCCTTGGTCCCCAGAGGTGAGTCAGCACCCTGGAAGACACAGGACTCCCCCACACCCCAGCCTGGGCTGTAGAACACCTTGGCTTGGGAGGGACTCCCTGCTTGCCTGAGGCCCTGGCAGAGGTTTCCTAAGCCCAGCTCCCACCCAGAAAAGCTGGACAAGGCGGACCTGACCAGCTAAGTGAGGGAAACTCTGGAGATACTGGGGTCCTCGGGTGCCGTGACGGAAAGCGTGCCCCTGATGGAGCCCTGCCAGCGAGTGTGGGAGGAGCCAGAAGGTGGGACAAAAAGTAGTGACGTATTGCTCATTGTAGACCAGGTCAGAGTTCAGGGAGGTCGTGGGACTCAGAGTCCTGCTCACCAGGCGAGCCAACGCGAAAGGACGGGTGGGTGCCAAGCACCAGGCTCGTAGCAACAGACCCTACTTACTCACCTATGGGGAGTGTGTTTAAGGAACCCACACACACACACAATGCTACCCCTGCCTTGGGGTGGGGTTAGTAAAGAAAATAATGGCTCTCCCTGTCCTCACAGACTACCAAGCTTGTTTCTCTTGCCCTCCAGGACTAGCTGCTCTACCCTGTAAGCGTGGATAAAATAGGCACGGTGCAGAAAGCAGATTCCAGGTTTGGGGTCTTCCAGCAATTACCCAGGTCCTCCTTACTCATTGAGAACCATGCCTTGGTTAGATTTGCTGAGATTCAGCTAGCTCCAGCAGACACAGAAAATCCTGACACAAAGAGTTCAGCAGCTATGCCAAGCTCAGAATAGCTCCTCCCCAGTTAGTGCCAGGAGATTCTGAAGGCATCAGAGACGTCGCCTCTGACCTTGGGGGGTACACGCCAGGATCCCATAACTGGTTCTGTATTCCCTCCAGCTCTGTTCCCGTTCTGCCTTTAACCTACACCATGAGCGGCCTGGAGGCAGCCCTGCCGAGTCTGACTGACAACTCCTCCCTGGCTTACTCTGAGCAGTGTGGACAGGAGACAGCCCTAGAGAACGTGATCTTTGCTTGCTTCTACCTTCTGGATTTCATCCTGGCTTTTGTGGGCAACTCTCTGGCCCTCTGGCTCTTCATATGGGACCAGAAGTCAGGCACCCCGGCCAACGTGTTCCTGATGCACCTGGCTGTGGCAGACTTGTCCTGTGTGCTGGTCCTGCCTACCCGGCTGGTTTACCACTTCTCTGGCAATCACTGGCCGTTCGGGGAAATCCCGTGCCGACTCACCGGCTTCCTCTTCTACCTCAACATGTACGCCAGCATCTACTTCCTCACCTGCATCAGCGCTGACCGCTTCCTGGCCATCGTGCACCCCGTCAAGTCCCTCAAGCTCCGAAGACCTCTCTATGCCCACCTGGCCTGTGCCTTCCTGTGGGTGGTGGTGGCTGTGGCTATGGCCCCGCTGCTGGTCAGCCCGCAGACTGTGCAGACCAACCACAGCGTTGTCTGCCTGCAGCTGTACCGGGAGAAGGCCTCCCACCATGCCCTGGCGTCTCTGGCCGTGGCTTTCACCTTCCCGTTCGTCACCACAGTCACCTGCTACCTGCTGATCATCCGCAGCCTGCGCCAGGGTCCCCGGATGGAGAAGCAGCTCAAGAGCAAAGCCGTGCGCATGATCGCCATCGTCCTGGCCATCTTCCTCGTCTGCTTCGTGCCCTACCACGTCCACCGCTCGGTCTATGTGCTTCACTACCGCGGAGGCGGGACCTCGTGCGCCGCTCAGCGCGCCCTGGCCCTCGGCAACCGCATCACCTCGTGTCTCACCAGCCTCAACGGCGCCCTGGACCCTGTAATGTACTTTTTCGTGGCTGAGAAGTTCCGCCACGCCCTGCGCAACCTGCTCTGCAGCAAACGGCTCGCGGGCCCACCTCCCAGCTTTGAAGGGAAAACCAATGAGAGCTCCCTAAGCGCCCGATCCGAGCTGTGAGCCTTGAGCTGCGAACCTCAAGCGGGCCCTGTCACCAGGCCAGCTGTGAGGACCAGCTATCCCAGTGGCGCACAGGCTACCAGAGCCAGCTAAAGAAGTCTCTCTAACCCCTCGCCACTTCCCCAGGAAACAAACTGAAATGTCAGCACTTCTCACCCCGCTCCAAGGTCTTAACGGCAAGGCCATCCAGTCTGAAACTCCATCAAGAGGGAGCGCTAACTACAGGGTGCCCTGCCCACCCCTCCACGGGGGCTGGGTTGGCCTGCCTTATTTACAGCAGCTCCCAGACACTCAGTGACTTCACTGGTGCTAAATGGGGAAGAGAGCCACAGGGACATTTCTGGAACAATGGGAACCTTTCTTCCCCACCAAACGACCCTCGTCTTTCATACCACAGATGCCCACAGCAACAAAGCCCTACAGAGGAACCCAGAGAGCAAGCTGCCCGGGACCCAGAAAAAAAAGAGACAGCACACATCTCATTGGAACTAGAGAGGTGTCTAATACTTCCTTTGAAGTGCATGGTATGCCAGCTTCGAGAGACTATCTCTTTCGGAATTTAGGGGACACAGACTCTATGACAGCCACACATGAGCACATTTCAGACTGGTTGCATGTGAGCCCAGCAACCACAGCTCTGGACTCTCCTGCTGTAACCACACCTGCCTCTCCCCTGCCAATGTCTAGAGTTTCTCAGTAGAAAGAGGCCTGGTCAGGCACACGGCATAGATGGACAGACATTAGAGTCTGCTGAGGCAGGGAGTCAGGTGTGCAAACCTGTCTACAGCTCACTCAAGGGGCATCCCCACTTCCTCCAGAGGCTTCTGCCAACCTCAGCTGCCTGGCTTTGAACTGTTGGACTTGTCAGCGTGTCTTGACCAAACTAATGTATCCATTTTTTTCTACTTGTTTGTAACTACTCTTAAACATAATCAAGACTTAAAGTGAAGGAAATTTTTTGTGCTACTTCAACATGATACATGATGCCCCCCCCTGAAATTCTCTTCCCTTCCACCCAAGAATGACCAAGGAAGGCAATGCCCCTCCCTTATTATTGGTTCCAGTGGCCCCCTGCATCATGGAGTTCCAGGCTGTTCTAGACTAGAAGGGCTCTCAAGCGTGACCCTCCAACCGCACCCTGCCCATCAATGGAGAAACCCTATATTCGTCTGTTATATTTTATCTTCCAAAGCACGGGGTAGTGGCCCGTTCATGACTCATCTCAGAAACCGCACGGCCCAGACTGATGGCCCTGATGCTTCTCACCAGTACAGGTCTGTCCACCCTCATGGTCCCTCACCAAGACAGGCTGCTGACCGCAAGACGGTGCCTTTCAGATGCCAGGGCCAGAGCGAGGTCATGTGCCTCCCCCAGCAGCATAGCAAAGCAGTAAGATCATTGCAGGCTGGGGCAAAAGTGACAGAGGGGCTTTGACAGAGAGCCAAGTACCCAGACAGGAAGGACAGTCTCCTGGGACGCTGGAGGGTTTCTGGAAGGCAGCAATGCCTTTTCTGGATCAGGAGATGCAGAAGCAGTCTTGGGTCAGAGGGGGAGAAACTTGAAGCTCTCTTTGGGACCTGCTGTGTTGGAATCTCAAACGAAGATGCCACACAGGCAGGGGAAACTGAGCAAAGGGGAGATGTGAAGGAGGCCCCTGTATTGTTCCGATGCACCATGGAGAGTCTCAAGACTTGTCTTCAAGGGCAGGTATGAGCCCGGACCCAGAGAGCACCTCTGGGCACCTCTGGAGGGAGCCGGCATGGAACAGAGGCCTCAGTGGGAGAGGAGGTGGCTTAGTCAAGCTGTGAGACCACTGGAGGCCAGGGAGAGGACCTAGTGACATCCAAGCTTGACCTGAGATGTAGGGGTCAACGGCTATGCTCAGAAGGACTTCAGGGCACAAAGGTGTTACTGGGAGCTCGCCCAGAGTTTTCCCACGCGGGTGGGAGATGAGGTCATGGCTGCAGGGGAGGTGTAGAACCCACAGTGAGGGCTGGAGAGATGGCTCAGAGGTTAAGGGCACTGACTGCTCTTCCAGTCCTGAGTTCAATTCCCAGCAACCACATGGTGGCTCACAACCATCTGTAATGAGATCTTGTGCCCTCTTCTGGCTTTACAGGGACATATGCAGGCAGAACACTGTATATAGTTAATAAATAAATCTTTAAAAAAAAAAAAGAACCCACAGTGAGGGAGGCAGGGGTGAGAAGAGAGGAAGAAGCTTCCTGGACGAGGGAACTACCCGAGTACCAATGGGGTTTACAGTTCTGAATCTAGGGTGAATTGGGCAGCCTGGCTAAGGGGTGTCTATCCAGCATTCTCCAGCCGCGTGTGTACGGGGAGGAAGACATCTGGGGTCAGCCTGGTACAGCGGCAGCAGGTAGGGTGTCAGGGGTAATAGGGATTCTCCAGCTTAAAACTCCTCACCCATCCATCGCCACTCAAGGCCCTCCATGCCTGCTGTTCCCAAAGAGGCATCTCCTGCCCAGAGGAAGCCCTGTCTGTCCTCACTCTCCTACCTCCACCCTTACCCACACCTGGAGACTGTGCTCCCCGTCTAGCAGGGGTGGAACAAGGACGCTGCAGCAGATCCTGGAAGGTGCGTCACGGGACCGTGGCACTTAGAGGGGGGACAAGAGACGAGCCTCTCTGTCCGCAGCTGCAGCTGCCTCACCTGCCCGCATTCCTCACAAAGCCCAGGTCAGCCAGCTCCACATCACACAGCTCACAGCGGAAGCAGCCTGGGTGCCAGCTGGAGTTCATGGCCTTGATCACACGTCCAATGACAAACTCACCTAGAAGAGGAGCGAGCTCGTCTGTCGGTCACAGCATGCCCCACCCTTCAGTGCCTCCCAAGTCCTGTGTGGCCTGGGGCTCCTCCCAGCTCAGCCTAGCCCAAGCACCCCCCTTCTAGGAACCTGAAGAGCGATGCTCAGGAAGGCGGAGTGAGGAAGGACCCCCAGGCTAAGCAGTGTGCCAGTGCCGCCTGTCCCCTGCTGGTCCCCTCCCCGCTTCCCAGGTCACCAGCTCTTACCGCAGAATCCGCAGCACGGAGCAAACAGCATTTGGAAGTCATGTTCGCAGTACTTCCGGCCCTCAAACTGCAAATGGGGCCACAGACAAAAGACAAGCAAGTCATGCATCATCGCCACAGCCTTGCCCCTAATAAATAACGGGGGTCTGGGGTCTGGAGAAGAGAGCCTTCTAAAGCTCGCTGGAGCAGGGGACGAGCCCATGCAGCTTGTCAGAGCACCAAGTGAGGGTTTCACGGAGATGCTGAGGGCCCGAGGCTGGCTCCTGGGGATTCTGCTGTCTGCTGAGGACCCTGGCAGGGGGCCAAGCTGAGGTGGGAGACGGGCAGAGGAAGAAGAGGTCACATCCGAGTCACTCGTGCCCCTTTGTCCCCCACCTCTGGCAGTGTCCCCAGAGCCGACGGAAGGACCCACGGGGGAGAGGGAGAAAGGGCAAGGCGGGCCTTGGGGAATCGGACTAAGACAAGCACCCGAGTGCTGCCGTCAGTCACAGTCACGCATTGTCCCCAAGCATGACCGAAGTTTGCCTCTGCCTTCCTCTCCCTTAACAGTTTGCCTCTTTAAAAAGAAGAAAATCTGGGGCTAGGGATGTAGCTCGGTTTGTGGAGTACTTGTGTAACGCGTAGGCAGCCCTCGTTTCGGTCCCAGGCTGGCTTGAACAGGCTGTGGTAGCGCACTTGGGAGTTGGAGGCAGGAGGGAGCAGAGGCTCAACGCCATCCTCCATAACTCCCTTCTCCTAAAGCTACATGTAGCTCTCCCCGGTGAGCCAGAGAGGCCACCGAGGCTTGACCTTCCTGAGCAGCGGTATCAAACACCCACTCTGTGCTGTGCTTGGTTCCGGTCTAGCCCCCCCCCCCCGCAGAGCTCTCCCCGGTGCTCTGCAGCCAGCCAGCATCTCTTGGGATGCCTGGAGAGCAACAAGAGATCCTCATCTGACAAGTGAGACACATCAGCCAACCAACGATGACATCAGCCCCTCCCTCCCCCAGAGAGGATGGTCCGGTCCCCTCCAAGCTCTGGTGCTCCCTTCATGCTGCAGCCCGGTGGAGCGCAGCCAGGGTGAAACCAGGCAGCAGGGGCCCTGACTTTGGGTCTGCCAGATGCTGTGGTGTAAATCTTACTGCCAGATTGGTACCATGCTGATGTCACACCACACGGACTGAAATAACCTCAGACACATAAATGATGCGAAACTCTAATGAAATAATGGGAAGTAGGACATTTTAAGTATCTTTTGTATCATAAGTATCTATGTTATCTTCATTTTTAATAAAGTACTATACACTATACCCCTGTATGTTGATATGGTTCAGTGTGTGTGTGTGTGTGTGTGTGTGTGTGTGTGTGTGTGTTTATGTGTCTGTAGGTGCCTCTCTCCCTTGGGGACAGGGTCTCTCACCAGACTGTGGCTCACCAAATAGGCTGGACTGACTGACTGACCTGTGAGTCTCTACTTTCCCAGCGCTGGGACTAGAACAAGCAAGTATACCTGCTTCTTTACATGGGTTCTGGGGATTAAACTCAAGAGCTCAGGATTGCCAGGCGAGCACTCTGATGACCGAGGCGTTTCCTCCCCAGTGCTCGAGTTACTTTGTAGCAACAGCTGTGTTTAGAAAGGACTTAACTACTTGCTCTTGTGAGCAGTGCAGGCAACTCGGGCCCTTCAGTCTTATCTGAACGGTCTCCAGACTCAGTAGCCCCGCTCCTGGTCTCCCAGTTTCTCTCCCAACTGACTCACCGCCTCTGTGTGGCACAGTGCCTGGAACCCCCTCTCTCCCGCTTTGTTTCTGAGACAGTATCCTTTCGCAGCCTCTCATGATGGTGTGTGGCAGGCACAGCATGCCTTGAATCAGAGGGGTGTTCTTCACATGTGGGACAATGGTGTGACTCCTCTGTTCCAAACCCACGTGGCTCCAGCCTCTCACTGCAAAGCTCAAGACCCCACCGGGATAGAAACTTTGCGAGTCCCTGTCTACCTCCCGCCACGCTCCGGTTCCTACCACACCAGCCTCTCCCCAATACCCCACGTGCTTCTGCTTCAGGACCTTTACATAAGCTGTGCCCTCTGCCAAGATCTTCTCCTGCAGAGGGGTGTGTGTGTGTCTGTGTGTGTGTGTCTGTGTGTGTGTGTCTGTGTGTCTGTCTGTCCCTTCTCTTCCGGCCTCATCAAACATCACCTGCTCACCCAATGCCACCCATGAGACCCTTTATCTCTAGGGTGCCCTCACCAGAAATGGAATCACCCAGCCACTGCATTTGCTGTCTGGCCCAACGGAGAGCCAGCATGACGACGGGGTTCTTTCTACCCCAGAACCTGCCCAGGGGCGGCTGAGGGAGACTGACTCCAGAAGGTCCCAGGTGAGGGACGGGCCAACACAGTGCGTGAAACTCCGCTTTGCTGCCTCAGAGCCTGGCCAGGTCGCGGAGCAGCCACAGGGTCAAGAACAGGCTGCCTCGGGGGGAGCGCCCTCACCTCATAGAAGAGCCCCTCGGGGAAGGGCCGGAAGCACTGCGCACACACGAAGCAGTCCTCGTGGTAGAGCTCCCCGTTGCTGTTGACGATGCGCTCTGTGGGGGCGAACCGCGCCTGGCAGCGCTGGCACGCGGCGTCGGCCAAGCATTCCGACATGTTGCTAGAGGGGGGCAGAAGGAGAAGGTCAGCACAGGCCAGCCGGCAGACTACAGGGCCGGCCCGGGACACGTCCCTGCTTCAACGGCCTTTAATGGTGACAGACGCGACACAAGGTTGTAAACTTCCTTAAAACATGAAACTTTGTGTGTTGGGGGGGGGGACGGCACATGTATGGGGGCGGAGACCTGAGGGCTGCAAACCAGAGGGAAATTCCAGCTGGCGTTCCTCAGGCACCAGCCACGGTTTGTTTGTTTGTTTGTTTTGTTTTTGTGGCAGCGTATCTCACTGACCTGGAACTCACCACGTAGGCTAAGCTGGCTGAGTAGCAGGCACCAAGGATACACCTGCCTCTCTCTGTGCCCACCCCACCGTGCTGGGGTATAAGCGCATGTCTTCACTGGTGACTGCTCCACCATAACCACCCCCCCACTGTGAGGCCTGACGCATCTGAAGCTAAAGCCACGTGCTGCTTAGTTTTTCTCAAGTTGACACAAACTGGCACCACCTGGGAAGACGGAACCTCAACCAAGGACTCGCCGCCATCAGACTGGCCTTGGGCATGTGCAGGGGGCATTTTCTTAACTGACTGTTCCTTCGGGACAGCCCAGTTCATGGTAGGTGGTCCTGGGCTTTAAGGGAGCAGCTGAACCAACAGCGGTGGAGAATAAGCCAGTGAACCGCTTTCCTCTGTGGTTTCTGCCTCGGCTCCTACTGCCCTGACTTCCCTCAAGATAAACGGGGGTCCAGTGTGTAAGCCAAATAAACCTTTCTTCCTCAAGTTGCTTTTGGTCAACGCGTTCTGTCACGGCGACAGAAAGCAACTATGACACACTGAGAGCCAAGTAAACCCTTCCGCTCTTGAGTAGTATTTTTGTCACAGGGACAAAAAGCTAACACACAAAGGAGCAAAGACTTTTGCAAGGAAGGAGAGATCAGGGCACAGACAGGAAAGCAAGGGAAGAGAGGGAGAGACAGGGGCATGGCCAGGAAGGAAATGAAGGAGAGACCAGGTCACAGCCAAGAAGGCAAGGACTCTATGCTTACTCCACACACAGTCCAGTCTGACAGCTCCAGCCAACGTCTGCTGGATCTGGAAGAAAGTTGAGGCCTCTCTGTGCTCAGTCAGTGAGGCGTTTCCATACAAGCACGAAGAACTGAGTTGCATACCCAGAGCCACGCCCATCCCCCCCACAAAGCCAAGCATACTGACACCCACTTATAGTCCCAGTGCCAGGGAAGCAGAGACAAGCACATCTCTGGGGCTCACTGGCCTGCCAACCTAGCTTACCTGGGTGAGAGCCAGGGAAAAGTGAGACATTCTCTCTCACACAAACAAAAAATTAAGGTAGATGGTGGGGAAGTCCTGTGTATATGTCAATAAAGCACTGTTGGCCAATAGGGAAGCAAGACAGGTGGGACTAGGAGTCCCGGAGGACTCTGGGAAGAAGAAACACAGGGAGTCAAGATGTAACCGCCATAGGGATAAGAAGCCCGGAAACTTTTCTCCGGTAAGAGAAATACTTAGATTGGCAGTTATGGGGTAAATACTTAAGTCAGAGCTAGCCAGTAAGAAACAAGCAAGGCCAACAGCTTCATAATTAATACAGCGTCATGTGTGTTATTTGGGGACTACAATGCGGCAGAGCCCAGGCGACTGGTGGGGAAAAACCAAAGCGGCTGGCAAGGAAAAGGCATCTCTCAACAGGTGGAGATCTGAGGAGATGGCTCAGATGCCATGCAAGTGTGAGGACCTCAGTTTGAGTACCCAGAATCTATGTAAAAGACAAGGACAGTATCTCATGTGTCTGCAGCCCCCCGAGTTCCTAGGAGGATGTGGGAGACGGGGACCGGAGAAGTCCCAGGTGCTTGCAGGCCAGCTAGGCTGATGTGCCCCAAGTGGAAGGTGGGACCAGTACCCAAGCTTAGGGCGTAGCTCATCCGCACACACTCCAGGGCTAAGCAGATAGCAACTGTCATTCTGCAGCCCTGGACGCTTTTCAGAGCTCCCCGGCTGCGAGCGGTCCAGGGAAGGCCCGTGGCCTCCTGCATCCCTGCCATAAGGCAGAGGGTCAGAGATGGATGGACGGTCCGTGTCCTCCTTTGCACAGTCAGCTCTAGGGCAGACAGCAGCCTGAGCAGCTACCCTCTGAGGAGACAGCATTCCCCCACCCTCAGAGCACGGTTCTGAGAACCAAACCCAGAGCTGAGCACCCACACCCCCTGCTCCCTTTCCTCAAGCTCGGCCCTCACAACTCCAAACACGCATAGTCTGGACAGGTGGCACAGCTAAATTATCACAAGACATCCCTGAGCTTGACAATAATAGGGCAGTCTGGGATTCTTTGTGCTGCAAAGACACAAAACTCAGGGCTAGGGGATCCTGTTGAGGATCACCTGGGACTAGACTCGTGTCTCTTCCTGTTCCCCTATCTCCCAGGGTGTCACACAGGTCTGGCCGTCTAGACATTTCTTCCTCCACTCGAGTGAGAGGACCTGGGAAGGAGGATGACTGGGTTTCTTTTAAAAGATCTTCTTGAACCTGCATGGTGCCGCACCCCTTTAATCTTGGCACTTAGGAGAAGCAGAGGCAGGTGGATCTCTGAGTTTGAGGTCAAACTGGTCTGCAGGCCAGCCAGGGCTATGTAGTGAGACCCTGTCTAAAGAAAACAAGGGGATTTTTTCCACTTGTTTATTTATGGTGTGTGTGTGTGTGTGTGAGAGAGAGAGAGAGAGAGAGAGAGAGAGAGAGAGAGAGAGAGAGAGAGAGAGAGAGAGAGAGAGAGAGCCCACTCACGCCCGTGTGTGTACCTTGTCACCATCTGTAGGGGTCACAGGACAACTGGCAGGAGTAGGTTCTCTCCTTCCACCATATGGGACCCAGGGATTGAACTCGGGTCATCAGGCTTGATGACAAATGTCTTAGTCTGACCTTGAACCTGGCCTTCCTGTCTCTGCCTTCTGAGCACTGGGAATCAACCCAGGGCTTCATGTGTGCGAGGAACGCAATCTACCAACTACATCCCTAGCCCACGCATCAGAGCCCTGTGAACTTCAGTTTCCTCATCTGTAAAACAAGCCCAGCATTGGCTGTCAAAAACAGACAATGCCCGCAGGAGAACCTGTGATACCCACAAGCTACTCCCCACCCCCAATCACTGGGTCTTTGCTGAGTGCCTGCACTGTTTCAAGCACTAGCCAGGTTTGGGGTGAGCAGAGGCTCTCTGTTCAGCAAGCACAGCTTCTACAGTTCCAATGGAAGCTTCCTTCAGCCAGCAGCTTCCTCCCCTGGGACGACTTGGCCTGTCTCCCTGGCCGCATCAGCATCACTGGTCTCCTGCACACGTAAACAAGGTTTGACACAAAGACAGCCCTATTTCTCGTCGTGTGAATACCAGCCAATTAACACGCTGCCTTGGACAGCTGGACACAGATGCATTTGACCACCAGAAACACCTTCCAGGAGCCGAGGATGTGGTTCGGTTGGCAGAATGCTTGCCTTGCTTGCAAGAAAGTCGTGGACCGGACCCTTAGCGCTGCAGAATGCTGGGTACAGTGTCTCCCTCCTGTGATCTGGCACTGGGGGAGTGGAGGCAGGAGGACCAAGGCCATCATCAGCTACATAGCAACCTGGAGACCTCCCTGAACTACATGAGGACC